TCAACTACAATGCCAAGAACTAAGATATTCAGCGGGTAGCATAACCTTGTGAACCTCTGTAAAACTGATATGAGTCATGCCCCTTGGTTCCATATTTGCCTGCCTGGGTACACCTGATTTATATAAACTTAATTGGTAAACACACTTTAAAGTTCCTTTGTGTGAAGCTACTGTGGTCAAGTTAGGAATCTGTTCATATGATTATGCTGCATTATCTAGAATTTGCATGAAATATAAAATACTCTCAATCTAACATTACCAATAGTTTCTGAAGGATATTTCTGGTCATGGGTGTTACTGATTATTCAGCATGTTCAGGTGACATTTATAAAAAAAAAAAAATGAAAAAGAAACACAACAAAATGTAAAGTTATTTTGAATTTTATCTGAACACTCACCATTTACACTTTAATGGGCATAATAGTGTCACTTTTAAAGAAATGCATTATAATTCTGAAAAATATTTTCCAAATGAGTTATGTTAAATCCAGAGTTTAAAATAGTTTGATATAAATGCTAGAAACAAGACACTAAGTGAAATGAAATTCATCAAAAAAAGTGTTTGTAATGAACTGTTTTACATTCCTTTTCCAAACAAAATAACCAGATGTTAGTCTACTGTCCATACATTCTCATCAGAAGTTTTACTTTGAACAATCCAAAACTTTGTGTCAAATTTAGCTATCCAAACATTGTGTCATGTTTAGATATCCAAACATTGTGTCGAAATTTAGATATCCAAACATTGTGTCATGTTTACATATACAAACATTGTGTCACATTTAGATATCCAAACATTGTGTCAAAATTTAGATATCCAAACATTGTGTCACATAAAGATATCCAAACATTGTGTCACATTTAGATATCGATGCAAACATTGTGTCACATTTGATTTCATTGTATCACATTTATGTATCATAACTGTGTCATATTTAATTTTTCATTGTGTCACATTTATATATCCAAACTTTGTGTCACATTTAGTTATTCAATGTGTCACATTTATATATGCAAACATTGTGTCACATTTAGTTATTAATTGTGTCACATTTATGTATTCTAACTTTGTGTCACATTTAGTTATTTAATGTGTCACATTTGTTATCCACATTTATAAACCCAAACTTTGTGTCACATTTAGTTATCAATAACATCAGGAGGGGGAGGTGCTGGCCCTGCTGGGCGTTGGACTCTTGGCTGTGGAGCAATTTCACAGGTCCTTATATTATCTAAATGTTTTTTAGATCTGACCCCTAGTGCTGCAGCCCTATACCTTATCTAAACATACGGATGTTTATCAAACTCATCTTTCAATTTCTTTAAACTTTCATACATGTATTTTGAAAGCTTCTCTTCCTCTTCTTCTTTGATAGAGTTTCTGTCAGATTTATTTTCCATTGTAATTATTTTCAGTTTATTTTTCAAAAAGATCAAATTTAGAATGTTTTGGTCCAATTTTTATGAAGATTATAAAACTTGAATATTTACATCAGAATTTATTTCGTTTGTTTTTTTTATAACTCAGTTGATGTCAAAATCTTTTTATTTCACAATTTGATGAAGTGAATGATGTTCTTGAAGAAACTTCCTGTTCAAATTGATAAGTATTCTATTTTTAATAATGAGAACATGATGGGAAATGTTTACTTGTGTACATGCATAAACATCTAACAGTAAATTTGTTGTAGTCAAGAGCAATTAAAACAACTGAGTATGAAAATATATTTTATTATTTGTATTATTTTGGCACCTTTGTTTACAGCCCAAAATAAAAAAAATAAAAAATGAGCAGTAAGTATGTAAGTAATGACTTAATTTAATGAGGCAACATAGTTGGGCAAGCCCAGTCTTTCCGATGAGCCTCAACAATGTACAAAACAATTTATAAAATACAATACATCAAAGTTATAGATGAAATTAAGGATTTCTTTTCAATGATTGCATGTAGTTTCTCATCTATAAATATGCACTGATATAAATGACACTGTGTATATGTAAATAAAAAGTAACTACCAGGTTGATGTAACTTTACTTACTATATTGAATGCCAAGATAAATTCATAACAATTACTTTGTAGTGTACAACATAAAAAGTGATGATTTGTTTTCACAAATAAAAAATGATATTTTTTTTACAAATTGAAAAAAATATATATTAAAGGGTATAAAGAAAGCTATATCAAGTGATTTTTTTTTTACAAAATTTAAAAACATTAAAATTATGTTGTTTGTAGATTATAGAGTTGTAACATAAAATGTCACTGCTATTTAAATCACATAAAGTCACTGTACATAAAATAAAATGTTCCGAAACAAAATTTAATGCTGCAATTTAAGAAGGATTTTATCCATTTAGCAATGATTTTGTGCCTGTGCCTTTGGTCAATAAGGAAATATACCGACATATTTCTTTCTAAATGTGTTTTAAAATTATACTTTTTCTAAAAAAAATTGTTTGCATTCAGCAGAGATGTAGCTTTCTTTACACTTTAAGTTTGCAGTTAATTCATAATTTTATCAGATAAGTTTAATTAGGATTCAAAATAATCCAAACAAATTTTGTATGTTAAATATTTCAATACAATATTTTATTAGTTTTAATTCAAAGTGACATTATGCTCATTTTTAGCTTGTCTATTTTGAAAGAAAAAGTCTAGCTTTTAATAATTATGTATGATGGTTGTTGTTGTTGTGCAAAAACTTAAATGTAGTCTTACTTTCAAACATTGAAAAAGTTATCAAAATGGAACTTAAAATACATGCCTATGATCATTCATGTCAAGGTGCATTTGTTATTAAACAAGTGACATAATTATAAAAGTTTTATTTTTGGAGTTTTTAACCAGGTTTTCAACGAAAACCGGGTTTATTGTAATGCCGAAGTCTGCGGGCGGGCGTCAACTTTTGGTTTCCGCTCAATAACTTTAGTTTGCTTTGGCCTATTGACACCAAACTTGGTGTGTAGGTAGCTTATATCAAGAGGCAGCTTGGGATTGCTACCCAGGTGTCTGTGATCAAGGTCAAGGTTACTGTTACTAAAAATAGAAATTCAGTTTCCGCTCAATAACTTGAGTTTGCTTTGGCCTATTGACACCAAACTTAGTGTATGGATAGCTTTTATCAAGAGGCAGCTTGGGATTGCTACCCAGGTGTCTGTGATCAAGGTCAAAGTCACTGTTACTAAAAATAGAAATTCAGTTTCTGCTCAATAACTTGAGTTTGCTTTGGGCTATTGACACCAAACTTAGTGTATGGATAGCTTATATCAAGAGGCAGCTTGGGATTGCTATCCAAATGTCTGTGATCAAGGTCAAGGTCACTGTTACTAAAAATAGAAATTCAGTTTTTGCTCATTAACTTGAGTTTGCTTTGGCCTATTGACACCAAGCTTGGTGTATAGATAGCTTATATTAAGAGGCAGCTTTGGTTTGCATCCCAGGTGTCTGTGATCAAGGTCAAGGTCACTGTTACTAAAAATAGAAATTCAATTTCTGCTCAATAACTTGAGTTTGGTTTGGGCTATTGACACCAACAAATTTATATTCGGGCATATATTGTGATGCTTTTGCAGTGCTCTTGTTTCAATTCTAGTGGTAAAAGTGTTAACACTGTTCTTTTGTATTTAAATTATTTAATAGAAAAAGAAGTCTCTGGCAAATGTTGTTTTCAATTGTCTGCCAATCTGCAGGGAATAACCTTGGCAAGTTACATACTTGTGTCATCCATTTTTACCACCGATATTTTTGTCACTCGGTATGGTTCATCTTTTCTGAGGCAATAGTCGGGCAGCTGTCCTACTGATTAGCATATGGAAATGGAAAAAGATGTTATTTTTTCTTGAAGTGTAGTATAATTACGCATATTTTATCATTTAAAGCTTTGTAATTTTCTAATTATAATGAATCTGTACCTTAAAATAAGTTTAGGGAGAAAAGCTTTAAGGCTATGCTTGCTGCAATAAAATAATGGTACAGTGGAGCCTTGCTAATCCGAACCCTTCTAATCCAGAATCCTTTCTTATCCGAACGAAGTGTCCGGTCCCGATTTTATTCATTCTATTTTCGATAGTAAAAAACCTTTCGGATCCGGAACCTGTCTACTCCGAATTCCGGACGATTTTTTCTATTTTTGTTCTTATTTTACTCTAAAATTTACCTCTCGGATCCGAACAGATTTTGCCAAATGTCACACCTTCATTCAAAATAACAAATAATCGCACATATTACAGGACAAACATAAACCAAACTGATAGGTGTTATTTCGCTTGATTAATGGGTGAAACATTTGATCTGCGAAGGTGTGAAAATTACACTTAGCTTGCCTTGATATCTTCTATAATTGCTTAATTGATTGTTTTTGGTCAGCTTCTATAAATATTTTGATATAATGCAATAGAAATATCTTTTAATCCTTTGTATAGGATTTAATGATACGTGATTAAGTAATGGAAATTAATGAAAACTGTCAGTGAATTCGGATAGTCGCTGAATCGGATACGAGTAAACAACAATTGACAAATGCTGGTACGAATGTCAAATCATGTCTTGGCCTCCTGTTTAACATCGTAGGTTAACTTACCCTTGAGGACATAATATTTTTGCTTATTGATTTATTTTTTTATTTCTTTATTTTTGTATTCACATGCACATGTATTAAAATGAACGCTAAGAGACTGCAAAAATTAAATATCTAAATTGCATTTTCAAATGCATTCCCGTTTTCTTTCCTTAGACTATTTTGTAAATAACATGAAAAAAACATGTTAAAAAACCTCCTAATTCGGAAACCTTTCTAATCCGGAAACCTTTCTAATCCGAACTTTTCTTCTGGTCCGGACGAGTTCGGATTAGACAGGTTTCACTGTACATGTATAAGTATAGTTATTATCTTGCAGAGCACAATCATGGAAGATTAAGGGGAAACCGAATGACAATGTGCTAGCCTCATTAAATAAAGTTGTTACTTACTTACTGATTGTTATGTTATCTGATTTACAGGAAGCAGTGGTAGACAAAGTCGTTTACAACAACTGGTAGACTGGTGTGGTGGGGAGGAGTTTGATGGCTGCCTTGTGTTTGATGAATGTCATAAAGCAAAAAACTTTGTTCCAGTAAGTTTCTGCAAGAAATCTGTATGGGAGAATTGAACATAAGTATTTGGAATTACACAAGCTTTTCTTGTCAACTAGCCATATATAGACGCTAAAACTTTCAATAAATAAAATATATAATTGGATTTTGAAAAGTGTTGCATACTTATCCTAGAGGTAATGTGCCTTACAGAAGTAATGTGCCTTACAATCTGCAATTTAAACTTTGTACTAAAATTGTAAATAAAGAATTAAAAACTTTAAAAGACTTTTATAAGTTAAACTTTCAGAATGACTTGTTTTAAATTTGTAAATTGTAAATTAACAGGGAAAAGAACAGGCAAGCACCAAGATAGCATTATCTGTTACCAGTATACAGAGGTAATTATATGTGAGATATTAAGTCAGTCTTTTGCATAGAAATGGATATAGAGATATGTTTTGAAATCAGCATAAAGCCCAGAAAATGGATCACAGAAAAGATAAAGAGTACTTCATTTTTAGCTTGTCGTTATTATTACTGTAGCTCACTATTCAATCATTTTGAAAGTTTTCAACATGAAACATGACAAACTGCAGTTGTTAGAAAAGTGGCATGATTCTGAAATATATACTTTGGAGTTTTGCTGCTTTTTAATTTAGAATATTTGTTAATATTTGTTAAAATTTGTTGCCTGTAACAGAGGGGTGTTAACACAGCATGTGGTGCTCTTGATCTGAACTTAAGAAATGATTCTCAACATACCATTTTTATTTCTTGAAACTTTGAAATAATTAGATGTCACTTTCTTCTGTGGTAATTAGTGCTTATTGTTGCATGTTTGTAAATGTTTGTGTTGTTTAATTGAGATTTCCAATCATAGTGTCATGAAATAAACAATATAGAAAGCTTGTCATGGTTTTTTTGAGGACTTATAATAAATTCATTAATTTATTGAATGAATATGTTTTCATAATTTTTCAATTGAATAGGCTTATTTACCTGTATTGACTTGAATAATAATGCTTTAAAACAGCTGTATTTCCTAAATTTTCAAGATAGAATCTTTTTCAATTTTTTAGAAACTCTTGATAAGATTAAAGTAATACTTTATTATTTTCATTTTTAGAATGTTGCCAAAGGCTAGAGTATTGTATTGCAGCGCTACTGGAGTTACAGATGTTAAAAATATGGTAAGGTTTAAAAAGATAATGTTTAATAAAGGGGTATACATGTATTGTGTGTTTCTTGCTGACAACAAATGTAAGCCTAAAAAAGAACATTTTCACTACATTATAAAGTGATCATTCTGGAGCACATTATCTCTATAAAGGAATTCATTTTGCCATATTGAAATATAACATTGATAGATAAATAATTTTAAATCTTGACGGTCAAGTTTTCAATACATAGGAAGTTTGAGGATGTTGCACTTTTTCATTATCTCTCATGTACAGAATCAATCAAATGGAGTCTGCAATTTTCGTGTAATTTTGTTGGTTTTAATGCTTCTGAGGGATCACTTTTTGTTTTACCAGATATTTATAGATTTTGAACAAACCAGGGGAATTTGTGTTTTCATGGTATCCTGTGCCCCCTGACCTGAATTTATCTGTTGAAAATTGATTCATTTCCAATTTTCATATTTATTATGATTATACTGTGTTATTGTAAAGGCCAATATTTGTCACATTGATCTTCTTGATGCCTGTTTTCATAACTAGCAACCAACGCTGTGCTTGTATGACAAAAAAAACACTTATATATGTAGCCATACTTGTCAGCCTAAGATTTGAAACTAACTTGATAATCTCATAAATTCTACAGGTTTTGTTAACTGATTGAACACCATTACTTTTTATTGTTAGTCCCCTACCGGTTTACCGGAGGGGACTTTAGGTTTACCCTCCGTCTGTCTGTCTGTCTGTCCGTCTGTCTGTCAGTCCGCACTCACAGGAGAGTAATTATGTGGCTAGAGGGACAATAGGTAACTGTTCTTTCTCTTTGATGTCATTCATTCCGTAATGCTTTTATGTGGCTATTTTCTTTTGTGTGGCTAAAAAGAACAATAGAGAGAACAATAGAGTAGCCACATAATTACTCTCCTGTTAGAACGTCCGTCAGTCCGTCCGTCCACAAAACTGGATCCCGCGATAACTTGAAAAGTACTGAAAATATTTTTATGAAACTTGATATATGGATAGATGGCAGTATGGAGATTATGCACGTCTTTTTCTTTTCTTCCTATGTTGAAAATTCTGGTTGCTATGGCAACAAATAGGCTGAAAATATGGCAAATTTTACACATAAACTGGATCCAGTGATAACGCAAAAAGTACTGGAAATATTTTTATGAAACTTGAAATATGGGTAGATGGCAGTCTGGAGATTATGCACGTCTTTTTCTTTTCTTCCTATGTTGAAAATTCTGGTTGCTATGGCAACACATAGACTGAAAATATGGCAAATTTTACACATAAACTGAATCCAGTGATAACTCAAAAAGTACTGGAAATATTTTTATGAAACTTGACATATGGGTAGATGGCAGTCTTGAGATTATGCTTGTCTTATCTGTTCTTCCTATTTTGAAAAAATATTGGTTGCCTTGGCAACAAATAGGCTTAAAACATGGCAAATATAACAATATTTGTGATTAGTCAAAAAGAGCTGAAAATTTTTATGAAATTGCATCTTTAATTCAAGAGTTATCTCCTTTTTAAGAATTTTGCTTTTAGAAATGTTATATTTTGGTAACAGGGATGTTTCAAATATTAACTTTAGAGTGCCCTTCAGTCCGTCTGTCTGTCTGTTCATAAAAACTGTTTCCTGTGATCACTTTTAAAGAACTTTTCCAACAAATTTACTTTAAAATAGAGAAAAATTAATGGCCCTTCAGAATGTTGATGGGGTTCTAACCAGTAGGGGACTTATGGATTGCTTGCAATACTATGATAATTGCTTGTTCACTCTTATATGCAAAGTTTGTTTGAACCTACAATGAACGTGTAGAAATCTTGTGCAATTTGTTTCAGGCATTTATGGAAAGACTTGGACTGTGGGGAGAAGGTGCACCATATAGGAACTTTGAACAGTTTTTAGTGTCTGTTCAAAAGAAAGGCTTAGGTGAGATATAGTCAACTTAGTGCAGTAATAGGTTAACTCCTTATATAAGTTAATAGGAGTTATCCCATTACTGCACTAAGGCAGTAATATACTGGTTAGACAATATGATGTAAATTTGTTTTTAAAAAAAATCTAAACAAAAGACAACCAAAGAACTTAACACTTAAAGCTAAAAGTAAAATTTTGTTCTGCATGCAAGATAGTTAAATAGTGAAAATACCTGTTTTAACAGACCACCAATCCAAAGAGACTAATTTTAACCTATAGTTTCAACTGTAATGTTAACAAGTGGAGAAGTATGTAATTAGAGTGAATAATTACAGGGATGAGAAAAGTATCCGTGTATTAGTATTTTAACAGTATAAAATGTTTAGTCACACGGTACACTTCAATAAACTGTAAGAATAACTCCCATTTGCTTATTAGGGGAAATTAACATTCCAAAAATAGTGAGGGATAATTATAAATGTTAACAAGTTAAATAGGGCTGTGTTCATCGTTTTATAAGATACATCATTTACATTTTTTGTGTACTTGTATATTTTTAAGGACTGTCCATTACATTTAATGTATTTATATGGACATGTATGTTATAATATTCAGGAATGGCAGAGATGTTAGCAATGGAGATGAAGTCAGCTGGCATGTATGTATCTAGAGGTCTGAGTTATAAACAAGCAGAGTTTATAACTGTAGAAGCTTCATTGACAAAGGAACAGGTCAAAATGTATGACACAGCAGTACATGTATGGTTAGTATATTTATCAATGTTTTCATACAAAATGAAAGACTGTCCTTTTACATTATCATTATAGCATATAGAAGATTGATGTTTTTTTTGCTTGACTATTCAAGGAACAGGGAGAGGTAATGTACTCACCCTGGCATCACCGTCGCTGTCAAACATTGGTTAAGTTTTTGTGTGAAAAGTGTTCTCTCCAAACCTACTGAAGGGAATTGGTTGAAATTTTACAACCCATTTTAGAGGAGACAATAATAGGAGGTCACTGTATAAAAACCTTTAACTTTAACATGGGTTTTAACAGAATTATGACCATTTTTTCAACTTTGAAAATTCAACATAATCAAGGCTGTTGTTATACTGTCAAGCACTGAGTCAAGTTGAGCAAGCTGTCCTACTGACAGTTGTTGTTACTTTTACCCATTTCTTTTTTTAATGGACCCTACTATGAATAATGAACTAACATTTATTGATGTAAGGGACTTTAATTGAACATTTAGATTGAATGAATAATGAAAATATATTTCAATGTTATACATGTTGTTTTAAGCATTTAGAAGTTTGTAAACTGATTCATGTAAATTTTAGGAATGAGTTACGGAAAGCGCTAGAGTCAGCCATATTGAGGACAACAAATAACAACACTCGCCTCTGGGCTCAATTCTGGTCATGTCATCAGAGATTCTTCAAACAGTTATGGTAGGTCAGTTTTTGCTTGGTCTGTAAATGAGATCTTTATACAATAGTCTCTAAACTAGAGAAGATACATATAAAATGTAAGCATTTAATAGTGTTGTGTATTTTAAAAAAAGTAATTCTTGTGAAGGTTATAAAAAATTTAGTCAAGCCTATGTTTTAGCCCATCGCTGTATACAATTTTTAGAACACTTCTTAATAAGTGGATGTATTTTAGATTTTTTTCGATCAATTAGAATGAAAATATATTTCATATTTGACCCTAGGTTCTGTCTACAATTAGAATTTTTCCATTTTTCCAGACTTGACTTTAATTAACAGGGTTGATTATAAACAGTTTTGAATTTAGTGCTGTCACGTCTCAAACTGCTGTAAGTTTCATTTGCAAGTTACTATTCTATGTTACATTTCATCTGAATTCAGTAAAACAGAATTTTGAACTCAGTCCAAAATGATAGGTATTGATTTAGAAGTTTGCACTAAAGGGCAGACAGTTAATTATGTACTTTATTTATAAAGGTGAAGATTGTTCAGAAGGGCAGACAACAATAATTATGTACTCTATTCTTGTATTGATTTCTGTTATATACAGTCTAGGTATGAAGGTACCATCTATAGTAAAGGAAGCTCATGAAGCTATCAATGATGGATGTTGTATTGTAATAGGTCTACAAACTACAGGAGAAGTAAGTGCATTATAAACTTATCTGTAAGCCTGACTATTCAAAGGGAGAGTTATTGTACTTGTTGTCGTTACATTTTGGCTTAAGTTTTTGTATGCAAGTTTTTATCATCAGTACTACTAAAGAGAATTGGTTGAAACTTCACATATTTATTTGAGAGCATAATAGGTGGTCACTAATGAGTTGTCTAAGTCACCAGTATAGAAGGGGTATGACTGTACTGATACTGACTGTTAGAATATGGCAGATTTGCAGTCAGTATGATGTGATTTTGTCAGCTGGCACATTACAACATTTAGATTAGACTCTACACAACCAACTGCTCAGCCACATTTTCAAAATTTTAGAGTACAAGATTATTGTTTTAAATAAAAAAGATAGATAGAAATGTACTTCATGTGAAAAAGCATTTCAAAGAATTAGTTACACTATATTTGAAAAAATATGCCGCAAGAAAGGTGCTTTTTTACAATCTTAAGCCATGTTTCATATCCAATTTAAGTTTTGGTTGATGTTCATTGACTTTTAAAATGATAAAAAATTTGTGTTTTATTTCAAGGCATCTTTGGAGAGTGAGCTGGACAAAGGTAAAGGAAGTGTGACAGGATTTATGTCACTCTGTCGTGAAATACTTACACGTTTTATAGACCAGTACTTTCCTACACGTGTTGATGCTCCGGTAAAACATTTTTACCTTTTTTAATCATGTCAATTTCAGTTAACAATGTTATGTACAGTTTGTTGTTTGTTTAATTTACTAATTTTGTTTTATTTTTCGGATAAAAGGTAATACTTATATATTAATTTTAAAGCACTGTAAGGCTGATTTTTCCTTAAAATTTTGATAAAGAGGTTTTTCAAAAAATTATGCATGTTTTAATTTCAGTCTTTGAACCATACTTCTATGTTGTTGTTTTATTTTTTTATATTTTATAAATTTTGTATATGTATAGAAAGAAGGGGAAATTAAAGAGGATCCATGGAGCGTGACAGCCAAAAACATGCTGCTAAATTTTACCAAGAAAATTGCTCTACCAGACAGTCCCCTTGATGAGATTATAGACAAGCTAGGTGGTCCGGGGAATGTTGCCGAGATGACCGGACGTAGAGGTAGAATCGTGAGACCGTCGGCTACAGAGACACCGAGGTACGAGACTAGAACAGCTGATAATGATGCCTACGGTGCTATAGACAGTCTGAATGTACAGGAGGTATGTGTATAGGGGAAGGTTTTACTATGTTTTGACACCCTGTAATGTACTTTAAGCAATATTTTCTTTCCCATTATCTCGGAAGTGGTATTTTGCTTAAACAATCTCAATGATTATTCAGTCTGAAAAGTGATCATGACCCAATTAAACAGATTTCTATTATATGAAATTTTGCCAATGGGTAGACAATGGACCTGTCCCCATAATCATGTAAAAAATGTTTTGCATTGAGAATGATGTAATTTTGAAATAATAGGGCTTAATAAATTATACATAATTTTATTTTTTCAGAGGAATATGTTTATGGAAGGGAAGAAACTTGTAGCAATAATATCTGATGCTGCTAGTACAGGTAACATTAACTCTAGTTCAGCATGATATTCATTTCTTAGGTGATTCTTGAATTTTTAACAAATTTGAATGTATTCACGAGATGTTTAGTTGGTTATAGTTGAAGCGTTTCAAAATTTGATAATCTGTTATTTTACATAACAAAGCTATTTTCCTTTTATAGCAGGGACCATTTAAAGGCTGCTTCCCCATAAGGAAATTCTTTAAAATCATGCAGTTTTCCCCTAAAATTTAATTTGCATATGTGTATTTGTGTATCAGGAATTTCTCTGCATGCTGATCAAAGAGTGGCTAACCAGAGAAGACGTATTCACCTAACTGTGGAATTACCATGGAGTGCTGATAAAGCTGTACAACAGTTAGGCAGATCTCATAGATCTAACCAATCTAGGTAACATAAAAACAGATTTTTAGTGCTGTTATTGGAAAAAAATCTTTGAAAAGTTGCGTAATCCTGCTTTTTCAAATACGATTCTTTATTTAAAGAAAATTGTCTTTGCTTTGAATTTTGATGAATCATAACACCAAGCATGAAATATTATATAAGATGTTGCATGTGTGATGTTTTTTTTTTGGGGGGGGGGGAAGGGGGGATTACGTCCATGGTTCTTGGCTTCAAACCACTTGCCCCTCACTGCTGAGTGTTTGAATTCCATCAGGGATACACTACAAGGAGTCATATCTAGTTTCTCTTGTCTTCTAGACTTGAGATAAAGATCAACTTTTAAAGTGGGCGTCCATGGTCAAGTGGTTAAGGTCTTTGACTTCAAACTACTTGCCTCTTATGGCTGAAAGTTTAGGCTGGGCAAGCTTCTCCTCATTCTTCCATGTGAGAAAGCTAGCTTTTGGAACATTAGTGGTTCTACTTAGGTGCCGTTTATGCTTGAAATAACACACAGAAGGGCACATGAGGTCTACTTTCACCAGTAAAGCTGGAAAGTCACTAGGGATGGGTACCACCAATTTTTTTGTACCGCGGTATTTCGCGGTATTTCACCTGTGTACCGCGGTATGTACCACGGTATTATGAAGACACTTTTTAATGTTTAACTTATGCAAACTAAGACCAACTGCCATAAGAATGTTTAAACATTTTGATAAAACACAATACATTTTAGAAAAACAGATTAATATCTTTATTTCTTTCAACTATCAGTTGATAGATTTTTGACTGTGGTGAATTCGTCCATGATGGTATGAGCTGTTTACAAGTTGGGCTATGTCTAAATGCTTTACGTTTTGTTATTGTCGCCACTCGTCAATACGTCAACATGTTTACTAGCCTTAGACTGAGCACTAACATGGGTGTCCCCTTTTAATGCATTTAAATGAAGAATGATATATAGAAATTATAAAAATGTCGGCGGATGAAATGTATTTTACACTACATAATAAATATGAAAAACAACCGGGAAACGATCCGACCTTTCCGCGACTAATTTATTCGTTAGAGTATTTATACTGTGCATTTACTGCTGTTCTAAAAATAGACTTAGAATTCCACTTTAATTTAGGTTGAAAGTTGAAACACAGATTACAGGGTAAATAAAGTCCGAATCTTATACAAAAATATTATGTAAAATTATATATATTAAAAAACCGGTATTCCTAGGGGTCGTACCGGTACGTACCGCGTCTGAACGAAACCGCGGTATAAACCGTTAATACCGCACATCCCTAAAAGTCACCATATGACATTTTACTATGTTGGTGAAATGTAAAACCCAACAGAAGGAAAAGAATAAATGAGTGAAAAATGTTCTATGATTTCCAGTGGACCACTTTATAAGTGTTGACAACAGATCTGGGTGGTGAGAGATTTATTTGCTGCAGCTGTGGCAAGGCGACATGCATCATTAAAATTTCAATACAATATATAACATTATATCTCTAAACTGATAAACCATTTAAAATTTAACTTAAAATATTCAATCAAGCTACTTTTGAACCCATTTTAATTTTACAGATATCTAATTTTTTACATTTTTTTCCTAAGTTGTGAACTGCAACCTTTTTAAACTAATCTTTTAAAACAGTGATTGTAAGCATTTATCATCAACATTTTAATTAAGGACTGTATTTCAAAAAAATGTATTATTTTTTGGTAACTAAACCAATTGAAGAATATACAAAAAGGTTGTCTAATAACGGTTGTTACACAAGAGTTCTTTGTTTATTGAATTTGTTTATTATAAAATTTCTAATAGGAATAAATTTCTTTTATAAAGAAAAACAAAGAATTTTGCCGTGAGGTAATACTGTAAATTTATTTATTGATATTGTCCACCGATGTCTTTGAACTTTCTGTACCATATATGTCAGTATGACAAGCTTTACTTCAAACAAAGAGGAGTTATTTCTATTTACCTTTATTGATATATTTCAGGGGCGTTAACAAAGGGAGATCGTAGAGCTGCTACTGGAGCAGATTTGACAGAGTTTAACTTTGACACATCTTATGGTCGTAATGCCCTCCGGAACATGTATAGTCATATATGTAGTGTAAGTTTTGTTTTGTATGATTTAGATTTCATATTTTTGATGTCCACTTCCTGAAACTAATCAGTACTGATGTTGTATAGAGAAGCATTGTTGTGACCCAAAAAGGGCTTGAATCCACAATCCTAGGGTTGATAGGCAGACATCTAATCTCACTTAAACAATGGTTTAAAATATTAATATGTGGTTGATACATTGAGGAGTTGTTGAACCTTTAGCCTGTTAGTGGCAGCTGAATCTACCCATGTGAACAGTGCAGTCAAAGATCAGCCAGCATGTCCGTGTTGTGTTGTGTTGGGTTATCAATCATAGACTGCACTGTTTGCTATGCAGTCAGTACATTTTAATTTGAAGTTTTCCCTTAATATGATGAATGGTTTAGTCCAGATTGATAGATGGATAAGTCCATACAAGATAATTAGTGTGGTAAGGGGGGGGGGGGAATAGAAGCTGGATAGCATAATGAAATTTATTATAATTTTATTTGTAGAATGTAAAATCATATCCTAGACATAGTGTATATACATGTACAAACATTTCTAATACAAATAAAGAACATGTATATCTCTAAACTGATAACCATCTTTAAAATGTTTAACTTTATTTTAAAAATATTTCAAACTCAATTTTTGCATACTGGTTGACAAAATCAAAATTTCTGTATATGAATATAACTTCTATACAGATAATCTATATTGTATGTACAATTCCTATTCCATTAAAGTATGTGAAAGCTGTAACTTATTAAAACTAAAAAATCTATATAAAAATAAGTGATATGCTCAGTACATTTAAAAACTCAACTCAACACCTTTCCTTAACTTCACAGTGACTGGTATTGTCTTATGAAAATTCAAAATATTATTTTTGATTTTAGTTCAACTCACTAACCAATAAGAAAATGACTAAAAATTGGGTTGATAAATAAATTTTCTTTGCTTGTACATGTTTAACACATTACAACATAGAAAGTTAACAAAATTTGAAAATTTAATTGAATCTAATAAATTAATATTAACAGGTCTATGTTTAACATATTTTCCTTAATGGGAAATAAAATTTGATCTTTATTGTCATAAAGATAAACTACAATAAAAGTGTTGCATTTTCAGATAGGTAAAAAATACTGTAAAATGTAAAGGGTTGTTGTATTGATATTTCCAACTATTTATAATTACATTTTTTTTAAGAAACAACTTTGATGTCTTCAGTTGAAAAAGTAATTACTTAGATCTATCAAGATTTTATAAATTCTTAGTTAACTGTAAATAAAAAGTCAGAAAATTGTGCTTTTAAATGTACTGAGTATACCGAGGTAAATGGCTGAGAAAAATAACCTTTCAAAATAATGTAATTGTATATATGAAGTTAATTGTTTAATGCAGAATTTGTAACTCTTATTGAATGATGAAAAATCAATATAAGTTTAATTGTATAGAATTTACAAAAATTCAAACTAATTTTAAAGAATTCATATTCATAGTTGAATTTTGAAGAATTCTGATAACCTCGTCTGAATTTTAAAAATTTTTAAAATTTTTTTATCAAGTTTACAGGAATTTATCTGACCACAATTTACAAACAATTTACATAACAGTTGACTATTGAAGAATTCGTAGACCAAGTTGAATAATAAATTTTAGATTTATGGACTGCACGTCAAAATATTCAAAATAATAAAGAACAATTTCACAAAAAATTATAAATACAAAAACTGTCAAATATTGTTAAATATTTTTTTAATGAGAACTTGACCAATTTCAGGGTTTGCTTTATTTTTTAACATTAAAATGATTAATATCCTATCAAATATTATAATGTAAGATTATTTTTCTCAACCAAAAATTCAAATAAAAGTCCAGGCTCAGGAACATATACTTTCTAGCCTAGCTTTGCCCTCATATCTTGATAAAACATGTCACTTTGACAAGAAATTTAACAAAAAATACATTGTCTGAAAATTTTGTTTACATCAGTATATATACTAGTATTTGGTTGTTATACTGATCAAAACATGAGGACAAAACTTAACTTGAAGATATATGTTCCTGGCCTCGACATTTTTCAGATGTGATAGTTTATAACTATACTAAATTTTAAAAGTGAATTCACATAAAATCAGGCCCCTTCCTCATTTGAAAGGGGCCCGATTTTATGTGAATTTACTTTTTTTGTACCTTGTTATATAATAACCAGAGTCAGGAACTATTTATAACCTTAGTAAGTTGAAAAGTGAATTCACATAAAATCAGGCCCCTAATTGATAGGGGCCTGATTTTATGTGAATTTACTTTTTGTCTTTGTTCTATTGTTCTAGATTACCCAGGGTCAGGAACAAAGACTTTCTGGCCTACTTTGCCCCTTATGTCTTCATAAAAAGTCTCAACAGGAATGTTTAATTTTTCAAGTTTTTGAGATTGTTAATTCAATTGATTATGAATAATTTCATCAAGACATAAGGACCAACCTAAGCTGGAAGATCTCCGTTCCTCACCTTGATGTACAAGTGTAACAGCTAACATACAAGTTCTTATAAAAAAAAAATACCCACATTAAGCCCAGACCCTTTCTTATTGAAAGGGACTGGGTTTAATGTCAATTTTCTTTCCTTCTGTCAAAGATAAAAAATATGTAGGTATATAAGCCGTGTCTAGCGATTTTGGTCCTTGTAGTTCATCTCAGCATATTTGCCATGCCAATAATGGTCAAATTATCATAAAATAATCACCCCTTGATCATACTATCTTACAAATCGCCAGCAACTTAACGTATGTTTACTCGTGGTAGATTTGGAAATTTCCGTGGCACAAAAAATGTCAACCTTGCAAGTTTAAGGTAATCACGTTTGATAATTCATTTACGTAAATAAAGATAGATGGCTCAATGTTTTTAATGGCTACTGAAAGATATATCTATTATGCTATGTTTACATGTTTAAGTATGAAAATAAGTCTTATTTAAAAAAAAATGCAAGAGGAAAATGTTTACCGTAACACGGAATATGCTACGGCGAGTTATATACCTTTTATATATTTTATAATTATAGTTAACAGGTGCTGGATAGTTATTTTGATCTTGATGATCAAGGGGTGATTATTTTATGATAATTTGACCATTATTGGCATGGCAAATGTGCTGATGTTCAGCCTATATCTTTTTTTTTTTGCCTTCTCACTGAATCATCATGTTCAAATTTTCAGCTTAATTATCGTACCTGCGTAAAGCAAAGTAATGATTTGATATTACAAACAACAAATGATGTTGATGTTCAAAATATGACATATTTGCAACGCTACAAGGACCAAAATCGCTAGACGCGGCTCATATATTGTTTAATCATCTTTTTAAATTGTCATGTATTTGTGTTTTTACCACAATATTGCATGTAATATGCTGGAAACTGTCAAAATGAATTATTTTGACATATCAAAATGACTTATTTTGACAGTTTCCAGCAGATTACATACAGCAGTGTGGTAAAAACACAAATACATGATAAAACAAAAAGAGATTCCTGTCGCCATGGGTCATGGTGACATCTGACATATTTAGTGACAAACTTGAACTCTTGTTCAGGCATGTTTCTAGAACATTATTGATGTTGTGATAGATATGGTTTTGAAAGTTGTTAATATTGGTTTTACATAGAGGCTCGGAACACAGTATTTCCCCAGAAATGTCAGTGTTCCAAAATGGAATTGCTTTGTATAGAATGTTAAGATGTATCATTCTTTCTGGTGTTTGACAAGAATTCATTTGCATATACATTTCTACAAGCTGGTCTGTTGATAAAGAGTCTAGAATTTTTCTCTCGATAGTTTCGATCTTGTGTCCCATTTTCAAATCGGAGAAGATCGGTTTCAAATCGTGCAGAAGTGTTTCTTGTTTATTGATATATTTTGATATTACATCAGTAAGCTCTTGGATGCAAAGATCATTGTTTTCAAATTTCCCATCAAATAGATTCCTTGATGGTATCATATAATTTTGTAATTGTTTCGTTTTAACTGCCTTTAACAAAAATTTAAGGGCGTATTGAACTATTTCTACAAAATTTTCTTCATGAAACTCTTCTTCAAGAATTTCTTCTGAAATCCAAAACATGACATTTTTAATGACATAAGAACTTATGTCATTGCATATTGGTTTCAGGAAATGTTTTGCTATTAGCTTCATCAACACGAATATTTTTCTTTGGATGCTATTGAAATTTTGTACGAGATGTAGCTCTCCAAGAGTGAAGCAAATTCTCCATAGGAGGTCTTCATTATGGCTTCCCCGCTGACCAACTGGCACCACATGAGCTTGAAGCTTTGCAACATGGGAAATTGTCTCTTTACTTGGCCATCCGTTTTTTCTTTCCCTCGAGCTCCATTCTTCCATTATGGGTCCTGCATCACATGGAAAGGCACTTACAATGTCTGTGTCCGTATCTTTTAAATTTAAGTCCGACAGAATCCTTTCTGCTAAAGGATTCTGTTTGATGTGTTTTGGAATGGAAGGTCCAGCACGAGAAAGCTGTCGAATTATCTGACCTTCACACCTGTTGCTGTTTTGGGAAAGATCTTCCTTTTCACTTAGATAATTATCACTAGAAAGATATGTTTCATTGTCCCTTTCAACAAGGGCGTATTCATGAAGCTGTTCGTTTGTACAACATTTACGTTTTAAAGGTTTGAGATAAACATATCCAGGTGGAGTCATTCTCCCATCTGCCAGGAAAATCACTGTTTCATTTGCAAATTCTGTGCAATGTTTCTCATATTTACACAAAACATATACTCTGTTATTAATTTCAAGAAAATCTAAGTCATTAAAGTGATGAAATCCAGTTCCATCACTTTGACTCCCAACAATTTTTTTTTCAATGTGACCTTTTCCTGAGGTTTGTTTGTTGGCAACATTCTTTGCCTCAGACAGTTTGTTCATAGAATAAATCCTCTTCAGAGATTCGTTCTCTCCAAAACCGATCTCATCCAATGCTCTGCTAAACTGAACTGATAATCCACCTTCAAATTTCTTTTTCTTCATGGTTACAGGCCATTACCATTCTGTAAGAGAAAGGAAACCTGATTAAGCAAATGTTGAGATGTTAAATGTAGATTTTACTGTGAATAAATTTAGTTGACAGTCAGGATGTGTTCGAAAAAAACAGAAACTATAAGTTGGACTAGACTCTGACCCTGAACAAAAATATCTCAGAATCTAGCTATGGCACATCAAAATGTTTTGACTAAAGAAATCATTAGTATAGACTCTGGTCAGACTGAACATAAGTGCATGCTGAACTTAATGCAGATAAGCCAAAATATTTCAAGAAAATCAAACTTGGGGAAAAAAATTAGTAAGATTTTAAGAAAAGTAAAAAAATTTAAGATTCAAGTAATAATTTACATGACTGTTTTGTGCAATAATTGATCTAATATAATTATACCCCCGCACAACAAAGTTGTAAGCGGGGTATACTGGAATCAGCTTGTCTGTCCGGCTGTCCGTTGGTTTTTCTTGTCCGCCCAATAACTTAAGATTCCTTTGACCCACAGTCTTCATATCAGGCATGGAGGTTAGTCATGATGGGGCCTTGACTTCAAAAAGCTTGTCCCCCCCAATAACTTAAGATTCCTTTGACCCACAGTCTTCATATTTGGCATGCAGGTTAGTCATGATAAGTAGATGACCCCTATTGATTTTGAGGTCACCAGGTCAAAGGTCAATGTCACAGGGGCCTTGACTTCAAAAAGCTTGTCCGCCCAATAACTTAAGATTCCTTTGACCCACAGTCTTCATATTTTGCATGGAGGTTAGTCATGATTAGTAGGTGACCCCTATTGATTTTGAGGTCACCGGGTCAAAGGTCAAGGTCACAGGGGCCTTGACATCAAAAAGCTTGTCCGCCCAATAACTTAAGATTCCTTTGACCCACAGTCTTCATATTTGGCATGGAGGTTAGTCATGATTAGTAGATGACCCCTGTTGATTTTGAGGTCACCAGGTCAAAGGTCAAGGGTCACAGGGGCCTTGACTTCAAAAAAGCTTTTCCAGCCAATAACTTTAGATTCCTTTGACCCACAGTCTTCATATTTGGCATGGAGGTTAGTCATGATTAGAAGATGACCCCTATTGATTTTGAGGTCACCAGGTCAAAGGTCAAGGTCACAGGGGCCTTGACTACAAAAAGTTTGTCCGCCCAATAACTTAAGATTCCTATGACCCACAGTCTTCATATTTGGCATGGAGGTTAGTCATGATTAGTAGATGACCCCTATCGATTTTGAGGTCACCAGGTCAAAGGTCAAGGTCACAGGGGCCTTGACTTCAAAAAGCTTTTCCAGCCAATAACTTTAGATTCCTTTGACCCACAGTCTTCATATTTGGCATGGAGGTTAGTCATGATTAGTAGATGACCCCTATCGATTTTGAGGTCACCAGGTCAAAGGTCAAGGTCACAGGGGCCTTGACTTCAAAAAGTTTGTCCGCCCAATAACTTAAGATTCCTATGACCCACAGTCTTCATATTTGGCATGGAGGTTAGTCATGATTAGTAGATGACCCCTATTGATTTTGAGGTCACCAGGTCAAAGGCCAAGGTCACAGGAGCCTTGACTTCAAAAAGTTTGTCCGCCCAATAACTTAAGATTCCTTTGACCCACAGTCTTCATATTTGGCATGGAGGTTAGTCATGATTAGTAGATGACCCCTATCGATTTTGAGGTCACCAGGTCAAAGGTCAAGGTCACAGGGGCCTTGACTTCAAAAAGCTTGTCCGCCCAATAACTTAAGATTCCTTTGACCCACAGTCTTCATATTTGGCATGGAGGTTAGTCATGATTAGTAGATGACCCCTATTGATTTTGAGGTCACCGGGTCAAAGGTCAAGGTCACAGGGGCCTTGACTTCAAAAAGTTTGTCCGCCTAATAACTTAAGATTCCTTTGACCCACAGTCTTCATATTTGGCATGGAGGTTAGTCAGGATTAGTAGATGACCCCTAACAATTTTGAGGTCACCAGGTCAAATGTCAAGGTCACAGGGGCCTGCACTTCAAAAAAGCTTGTCCGTCCAATAACTTAAGGTTCCTATGACCCACAGTCTTCATATTTGGCATGGAGGTTAGTCATGATAAGTAGTTGATCCGTATTGATTTTGAGGTCACTGGGTCAAAGGTCAAGGTCACAGGGACCTTGTCAAAATAAAGCTGTTCCCCTCAATTGCTTCAGAATGCCTGTCCAGAGTGTATTGATTTTGACATTTTCACATTTGAAGCATGAAGAATACATAACTTAGCAATGCACTGGCTTAGTAACCTCAGATTTGGCAGGGAGGTTGTCCTTGAGTTCTAAATGGCCACTATTGATTCTGACAAAGTGGTATGCAGGGGTATTCACGCCATGATAGTGGCAGTTCTAGTTTTTACAGAAAATATCCCCATTTTTCCACTGAGCGACTTATTTATTATCCTCAGTATGGGCTATTTTTGCATATTTTGACTTGTAATGGGTAATTTACATGGATTGATATTCTGTTCCCTTCACAATGTTTTACTTTTAAATACCCTTTTTAAATTTTCATGAAAATTAAGCAACTGAATCATTCTAATTATAATGGCTTATGATTTCTGTTCAAGGTTAATTTCTTCAAGGATATTTAAATTAAGAAAGAAACAGTCAAATGAATACATTTTAATATGAAATAATAAATAAAACTAGAAATGTGTCATCATGCCACGGATGCCCCCGCATGCAGCCAAAATTTCAGATGTTATAATATTTAGTTCCAAATTTGTTTGCACAAATTATTTTTTTCATTTGCAGTTCAAAGCCCTTAAAACTTTTCAATGTTAACACAAACCATTTTCATACAATGTTCAAAGCACTGAAATTATTCAGTCTTAACCTTTTGAAAATAGCATATTTCATATTTGTAGCCAAAATAATGGCTACATACATTTCCACAAAAGTATGAGTGCTGAAACTGAAAGTTCAAAATTTTTCCAACATTCAAGAAAGATAAGTTTGTCCAAAATCATTGAACCACGACCAAATTCAAACTTTCCACAAAAGTATGAGTGCTTATTCCTAAGATGTATCTATATTATTTTCAAAGTGAAAGGGACATAACGCTGCCAAAAAACATCGAACCATGACCAAATTCCAACTTGACCTGCCCATTCCTTTGACATATCCATATGTCAAATTTGAGTTGAATATGTAACACAGTTGGGTAGATAATGAACAGAAACTGTAAATTTCATATTATTTTCAAAGTAAAAGGGGCATTACTCTGCCAAAAATCATTGAACCATGACCAAATTCGAACTTGGCCTGGGCATTCCAAAAACATATCCATATGTCTAATTTGAGTTGAATGTGTTGTACTGTTGGGGAGATAATAAACAGAAACTGAAAATTTCATATTATTTTCAAAGTTTAAGGGGCATAACTCTGCCAAAAATCATTGAACCACGACCAAATTTTGAACTTGACCTGCGCATTCTTTTGATGTATCCATATGTCAAGTTTGAGTTGAATGTGTTGTACCGTTGGGGAGATAATGAATGGAAACTGAAAATTTCATATTATTTTCAAAGTGAAAGGGGCATAACTCTGCCAAAAATCATCAAACCATGACCAAATTCGAACTTGACCTGTATTTTCTCATGACATATCCATATGTCAAGTTTGAGTTGAATATGTTGTATCGTTGGGGAGATAATGAACGGAAACTGAAAATTTCATATTATTTTAAAGTAAAAGGGGCATAACTCTGCCAAAAATCATCGAACCATGACCAAATTCGAACTTGACCTGTATTTTCTCATGACATATCCATATGTCAAATTTGAGTTGAATGTGTGCAACCATTACTAAGATAATGAACGGAAACTGATGATGACGGAATGACGGAAGGACGGAACAGGGTAACACTATATGCCCCGGCCATTACATGGCGGGGGCATAAAAAAAGGAACTTACTGTGCTTTATGAATTAATGTTGTACGTAAGTATCTATAGTCCAAATACTTTGAATATTAACATAAACAATTTAACTTTGCCTCAGGCTGTTAGGTATACAATTTAGCTGTGTCTTTGATATAAGATTAAACTTAAAATGATTAAATTTTGCATTTGTGCGATCACTCACATGAATTTTGCTATTCTTAGTAACAGTGTAATAACCTGAGGTGATATGGAGTTTCCGCTGGATTTACCGTCATACCGTTTGTTATCTAATAGAAGCACTTCAGAAATCATTGACATTTATGTGTGGCCGAGTGGTTTAGATTGTTGACTTCAAAGCACTTGCCCCTTATCACTGGGGTTGGAATCTCAGCAGAAAGTTTTGGCCTTTTCGTGTGAGGAAGCTTAGTCTAGCTTGCTAGCTTATGGAACGTTGGTGGTTCTACTCAGGTGACTTTTTCTGCATGAAAAAATGCATGAAAGGGCACTGGAGGTCTTCCACCACCAGTAAAGCTGTAAAGCTTCCATATGACCTATACTGTGTTGGTGCAACGTAAAACCCTACTCCGCAAAGAAAAACCAAAAAAACTAATAAACCAGTTATAATTATTGCAATGCTGCATCTGCCAATAGTATTGTACCACATATAAAAACACACATATAAATTTCTCTTTAATATTTTAAATACTGTATCAAAAACACTACAGGTATTTCAGTCTTTTCAAGCACTGTGATCTTAAAAATATACAAATTAAAAATACCTTTGATCTATGGGTTGATGGGGCATTTTTATTTGGTTGACATTATTTTTCTTTTTCTTAGGTAATTGCACCCAGTAAACATGACCCAAAAGTGTGATATTCAGTAATTTTTTAAAGAAAATTTAAGTAGTTTAAGATGATAATATTGTTTTTATGTGTTTTCGTGACTAAGCACTTAATAATTTGGATAGAGGAGACAAATGTTAGTAAGATAAAAACATTTTGACAAAATATGTATCTGCAGTTTATCATGTTGATTTTTTGAAGAATAACATTCAGTAAGTGTTTAATCCATCAGCTAGAGCCTTCATATAAGAATCTTACACCGGCTGCCGGTACAGACCGGAATATCTAGCTCGAGGGTAACTGTTTACAGTGGTAACGAGGCTCTGCCGAGTTTCTGCTAAACAGTTACCGAGAGCTAGATATTCCCGTCTGTACCGACAGCCGGTGTTTGATTCTTTTTCTTGCATATTACATGTCAATTATTTTCGGAACAGAAATTATGAAAACTGATATTCTCATTACGCACTTTTTTCTTATAGTAGCGTATGAACATACAACTTCATTCATAATGGAAAAATGACGTCATCTTAAGAACGCGATTCATTCATAAAAGGCCCGCATCAATGACGTCATTTAAAGCACGCGACTTGTCTTACATGGGGGGTGTAAGACAGAGTTTTCTAGCACCGGTGTAAACGGTAGATAATCCTGTTTGAGATGCAAGAATATTTGTTCTTTCACCTCTTTGATTTTGTGTTTGTATTTATACTATTGCTAGATGCAGAAGCAATTATTTGAGGACTTTAAATTTAGTCCCATAGTTTCATTTGTATACAAGTATGAGGTGTGGCATCCATGGCAGAGTGGTTATTAAAGGTTGTTGACTTCAAATCACCTCCTCACCTCTTTAAGTTCAAATCACAACAGTGACTTTGGATTCTTTCATGTGACCTGCCAAAAAAATAAAAAAATGAATAAAAATATGAGAGCATTTTTTGGAGATATTATGGTATTTAACATTCTTCACCTAGTTTTATCAGATAACAGGCAGAGTTACATGAAGATAAAACGTGTCTGTTATACATTTTAAAGTATAGGGTTAGGTTATAGAACGTTACTATTATTATTTATGCTACAACCAGGTATGATCGTTAAAATGGCACCTACTGTCCTAGGATGATAACTTGAGCCTTTGTTTACATAACAAAGACCAATAACAATGCGAAAAATAGGTTAGGCAGATCAATGCCACAATCTATAAAAATGAAAATAAAACTACATGTTATCATATGTCTTGTTAGCGCAGTAGGTAGAGCAACCGTGTCAGTAATGTTTTTATCCGTACAGACAGAAGTTCGACAACTGGTACATTTTTTTTTTTACCTCAGAACAGTCAATTGTTTGACCGGTTTTATGCATACATGAATATGAGATCGAATATTTTATTTCACTGTGATCAAAAAATACAAAAAGAATAAAGAATAGAAATAAAAAATCAATATATACTATAAAATATATAACATAAGAAGAAAACAAAAAGGAAAACGAAAATAAATGAATTATTATAATGATAAAAAAACAGAGCAAGAAGAAAAACCTGTGGTTATAAAATGGCACTACTTGGGGTTCGAACCTATGAGAACAAAACTCTAAAAGTTACAAATAATTTCGATCTACCGACAGAGCCATAACGGTAATACGCAAACGATACTGTAAGAATAATGCTATATAGTATTTGTAAGTGTTTACTTTTACGATATCGGATAATAATCCAGATAACCCCGTTTTTGGACTTTCCCATGTACCGTTAAGACCAAATTATCATCCTAGGACAGTAGTAATGTTCTATAAACTAGCCTAAAAAAATAAACCCAAAACAACATCATGAATAATATAATATATAACAATGGGAAGATGGGTGAAAAAGATAAACTACTGAATAATTGATATCATAATCACAGATGTATGGCGATGTAGCCAGGTCAGGAACTGGTACCCCAACCCCTGACCTCTCTACAACCCCCCAAAAATATTTATATGAATAAAATCATCTAAAACATATTACAAATCAGTAAAAAAAATATTGAGTTACAGGCTATTAATTTTGTAATATCATAACTATATATTATTGAATATTGTATAATATATAGTTTGGTATTATGGATAGTAAGTAAGCTTGTTTGTTTTTTTTTTTTTTTTTTTTTTTTTTTTTTTAAATTCATCTGTGATGATGTTTTAGAGTTTATTATGTTTTAAATGATTTTTGGGGGATTGTAGAGAAGCTTGGGGTGGGGGTACCTAGTTTCTGACCAGGCTATACACTATACAACTGTGATTATTATAAGCAAACTTGGTACAGTGGGAATTTTTGAGACAATACTTGCATTGTATTTGATAGAACAATCAACAATTGATCTTGATATTCAAAATATATTATGATGTCATTTTATGATATTTTGATACTCCATCTTGAATAAAATTAATTTTAGTTTTGTATAAAGATTGTTAACCTATATCTGTAATTAATTAAAAGTAATAGTTTATGAATAGTGACAAAATAACGCCTCCGTGTTAAATGCATGTTTAACCATCTTACTTACGGTACTTTATTTAAGCAGCACGCCTCCAGACTAATGTTTTTTTTTTTCATGAAAATTTTGAAAATAAGATTAAATGTATATTATTGTATAGTTATCTTAAGGAATCATTTTATACATTATCAATCGCACTTTCAACCCACGTTTATTAGTTAAATGCAGTAGAAATTTAATGAAAAATTCACCTTTAATTGCTCATAACATGTGAATTATTACTTGAATCTTGGATCCTTCTTACTTTGCCTAAAGATTTTGGTTGTTGCAGAGAGGTGTTCTGAAGAGGTTGTACAGAGGGAGTTGCTCTACAAAGGGTCGCTCTGTGGAGGTTACACTGTAGTCATAGTTTATGTTCATTTCACATTAGTCACATTTCTTTCTAAAGGTTGTCTTACTGTAATGCTTTCCCACCTAAAAATTTCTTATATCGGCCAATATCATAATAAATTGGTCAGTTACAGAACATTATTAGTCCCCTACGGGTTTAACCGGAGGGGACTTTAGGTTTACCCTCCGTCCGTCTGTCTGTCAGTCCGTCCGTCCACAAAACTGGATCCCGCGATAACGCAAAAAGTACTGAAAATATTTTTATGAAACTTAATATATGGATAGATGGCAGTATGGACATTATGCACGTCTTTTTTTTTTCTTCCTATGTTGAAAATTCTGGTTGCAATGGCAACAAATAGTCTGAAAATATGGCAAATTTAACACACATACTGGATCCAGTGAAAACTCAAAAAGTACTGAAAATATTTTTATGAAACTTGAAATATGGGTAGATGGCAGTCTGGAGATTATGCACATCTTTTTATTTTCTTCCTGTGTTGAATATTCTGGTTGCTATGGCAACAAATAGCCTGAATTTCAAGATTTCTGATTTAAATTTTTCAGCTTTTTCACTATAAGTTCTTATTTCTTAAGGTGTTTACTTCAAACTTTAAATATAAGTTTCTGGCCATCAACCACATCATATGTGACAAGGTTTACAACTCTAGCACAAAAATTATCAGTATTACCTCCCTTGAACTTAGAATTTTTATGAAAAAAAAATGTTGTCTTTTTTAAATAACTTCTTTATTTCCTAATGTATTTACTTCAAACTTCATATATATGTTTCTTATTATCACTCAACATTTTTGAGAAGGTTAAATACTCTAGCAAGACTATTTCCAGAATTATCCCCCCCTTGAACTTTTTTGTTTTCACTCCAACTTCTTCATTCCTTATAGGATTTACTTTAAAATCCTACATCTTAATAATATGACAAGGTTGTATAAACAGAATTTCCTTACTAGGCAGGGAAACTTAACACATTACTGTTATATAGACAAACTTAGAACTCAAAAGATTTAAGTTCATTCATGTCATTCATCCACTGGTAAAATTGAATGGCCAATGGCCCATCAGAATGCTGCTGGGGTTCTAACCGGTAGGGGACTTATGGATTGCTTGCAATACTATGATAATTGCTTGTTTTTCTCAATCTTCGGTTGTCAATAATTTTTAACCATTAATAACTGGAATTTTGAACATAGCGATAAAGGATGAGTAAATAAGCTAATACCCAAGATTTTGAAGAAATAACCGATTTGCTATGAATTATAAGATTGTAAGATTGCGATGTAAGATTTTTTTATTGTTTTGGCTGGAAAGCATTACAGTAAGACTACCTTAAGTCTAAAAGCGTAGTTTTTATATCCCTTTGTTGTTTTATTTTTCAGAAAAAGATGGTTCCTGGATTGTCATTAAATGTGCTGACTGGGGGCAAATATGATTTTGAATTATTTAACAGACATATGCAGGTAAGTTTTATGGCTTAAATTTATTGATCTTACAAAGGTTAGTTTAGGAAAATAATTTTAGAAATGCTAGCTTGCTCATCAACACTGGAAATGCATAGATTTATATATGGAAATTGAAAAATTTTGGGACTGAAAAAAAATATTTTTCCACAGATCTACTATACTCCTCATTACCTTCCTTACTAATACCCCAGAACAAATCAACGATGGATATTAAACAGTGTTGATTATTTCTTAGAACTTAATGAGTTGGGGTGGCAGCTTTCTTTAGATAAACAGTGCCAGCATAAAGTTATTTTACATATAGATGCTGTAATTAAAGCGCAAATATTGAACATGGTATTGATAATTTGTTAATTGTAAAGATATTAAGGGTTGATTGAAAAGATTCTATGTTAATATTTGAATGATCATGTCACACTTACAGTTATAAGCAAGCACCTCTTTAGTTTTCACTTCAAACCACTTACCTCTCATGGATGTGAGTTAAAATCCTGACAGAGACTTTGATTCTTTCTTGTGATGAATTTATCCAGCTAGCCTACCGAACGTTGGTGGTTCTTCTCAGGTACCTGCTTTTGCCTGAAATAATGCACAAAGGGTAATTGTGAGAGCTTCCTCCACCAGTAAAGCTGTAATGTCGCCATAATACCTATACTGTGCTGGTGCAACATAAAACCCAACAAAAATTTAAAAAAAAAACTCAGGTAAACCATCAGTATTGTTAAGCATGTAATCTTGAATGATTTAAGGTTAGCCTGGTGTTGATGGGACTGGTAGATATTGACATGTTAAGATCAGGGCCTGTACTGAAAGACAAGGACACTGGGGATGTTAGTAAATTTCTCAACAGGATCCTTGGACTAAGTGTGGAAAAACAGAACATGGTAAGTTGTAAAGTTAGGTTATATTGGTCAGTTATTGTTACAGGTTCTCTCATTTTGGTTCAGAAGTATCATAAGTATATAGGTATGTAACAAGTATAATAACCTCATGTACTTTTTATCATTACACAATAATGTTTCATTTGACAAACTAAATCAGATGAACATTCAATGTATATCAGAAAACCACTCTGTAGGGTGACACTTCTATTATTTTACACCAAAGGGAAACTACCCAAAAATTAGCTAAAGACATATGAAAGTTTTGTTTATTAACTCTGTTGAGTAGAAAAAATAATGAAAAAGGAATAATGACTAAATACTGAGTAGAAGGAAAAATGACTTAATGCTGAGTAGAAGGAATAATGACTTATGAATGCTGAGTAGAAAAAATAATGACTAAAGAAAACTGAGCAGATGGAATACTGACTTAAGAATGCTGAGTAGAAGGAATACTGACTTTAGAATGCTGAGAAGTAGAAGGAATAATGACTTATGAATGCTGAGTAGAAGGAATAATGACTTATGAATGCTGAGTAGAAGGAATAATGACTAAAGAATGCTAAGTAAAAGGAATAATGACTTAATGCTGAGTGGAAGGAATAATGACTTAAGAATGCTGAGCAAAAGGAATAGTGACTTACAAATGCTGGGTAGAAGGAATAATGACTTAATGCTGAGTTGAAGGAAAAATGACTAAATGCTGAGTGGAAGGAATAATGACTTAAAAGTGCTGAGTAGAAAGAATAATGACTTATGAATGCTGAGTAGAAGGAATAATGTCTTATGAATGCTGAGAAGAAGGAATAATGACTTACAAATGCTGAGTAGAAGGAATAATGACTAAAGAATGCTGAGTAGAAGGATTAATGACTAAAGAATGCTGAGTAGAAGGAATAATGACTAGAGAATGCTGAGTAGAAGGAATAATGACTTATGAATGCTGAGTAGAAGGAATAATGACTTAATGCTGAGTAGAAGGAATAATGACTTAAAAGTGCTGAGTAGAATGAATAATGACTTATGAATGCTGAGTAGAAGGAATAGTGACTTACAAATGCTGAGTAGAAGGAATAATGACTAAAGAATGCTGAGTAGAAGGATTAATGACTAATGAATGCTGAGTAGAAGGAATAATGACTAAAGAATGCTGAGTAGAAAGAATAATGACTTAATTCTGAGTAGATAGAATAATGACTAAAGAATGCTGAGTAGAAGGAATAATGACTAAAAAGTGCTGAGTATAATGAATAATGACTTAATGCTGAGAAAAAGGAAAAATGACTTAATGCTGAGTAGAAGAAATAATGACCAAAAAGTGCTGAGTAGAAAGAATAATGACTTATGAATGCTGAGTAGAAGGAATAATGACTTATGAATGCTGAGTAGAAGGAATATTGACTTAAGAATGCTGAGTAGAAGGAATAATGACTTAATGCTGAGTAGAAGGAATAATGACTAAAAAGTGCTGAGTAGAAAGAATAATGACTTTTGAATGCTGAGTAGAAGGAATAAGAACTTATGAATGCTGAGTAGAAGGAATAATGACTAAGAATGCTGAGTAGAAAGAATAATGACTAAAGAATGCTGAGCAGATGGAATACTGACTTAAGAATGCTGAGTAGAAGGAATACTGACTTAAAGAATTACTAACAAATGCTGAGAAGTAGAGGGAATAATGACTTATGAATGCTGTGTAGAAGGCATAATGACTAAAAAGTGCAGAGTAGAATGAATAATGACTTAATGCTTTATAGAAGGAATAATGACTTGAGAATGCTGAGTAGAAGGAATAATGACTTACAAATGCTGGGTAGAAGGAATAATGACTTAACGCCAAGTAGAAGGAAAAATGTCTTAATGCTGAGTATAAGGAATAATGTCTAAAAAGTGCTGAGTAGAAAGAATAATGACTTATGAATGCTGAGTAGAAGGAATAATGACTAAAGAATGCTGAGTAGAAGGAATAATGACTTACAAATGCTGAGTAAAAGGAATAATGACCTTATGCTGAGTAGAAAGAATAATGAATTAATCCTGAGTAGAAGGAATAATGACTAGAAAGTGCTGAGTAGAAAGAATAATGACTTATGAATGCTGAGTAGAAGGAATAATGACTTATGAATGCTTAGTAGAAGGAATAATGACTTATGAATGCCGAGTAGAAGGAATAATGACTAAAGAATGCTGAGTAGATGGAATACTGACTTAAAAATGCTGAGTAGAAAGAATAATGACTAAAGAATGCTGAGCAGATGGAATACTGACTTAAGAATGCTGAGTAGAAGGAATAATGACTAACGAATGCTGAGCAGATGGAATATTGACTTAATGCTGAGTAGAAGGAATAATGACTTAATGCTGAGTAGAAGGAATAATTACTTAATGCTAAGTAGAAGGAATAATGACTTAATGCTGAATAGAAGGAATAATGACTTACAAATGCTGAGTAGAAGGAATAATGACTTAATGCTGAGTAGAAGGAATAATGACTTATGAATGCTGAGTAGAAAAAATAATGACTAAAGAATGCTGAGCAGATGGAATACTGACTTAAGAATGCTGAGTAGAAGGAATACTGACTTTAGAATGCTGAGAAGTAGAAGGAATAATGACTTATGAATGCCAAGTAGAAGGAATAATGACATATGAATGCCACCAGGAAAGACTTATGATATGCAATCAAACCTACATAGGGTACTAATGTTAGATATTTCAAACATTTAGGAATAATATATAGATGTATTTTCATATTGCAGTCCCTAAACTAATTTTTTACCTAGCTGGAAAAATCAATTTAGCAAAATTGGCAGGGGAATGTTTCAAGATTTTATTTTACTTTCAGATCTTCACTTACTTCACAGAGTGTATGAAACTTGGTATAGATAATGCAAAGAAAGAGGGAAGGTTGGTACAACTGGAAATACTTTTTTTTAAGATTTTTAACATAAATTGGGCTTAGAATCATACTTTATATCAGTTTTCAATTTAGCTGCAAGTATATTTCTTTATATTCTTTTTTACATTTTTCCCTTTTAAGTGACTTACTGATCTATAAAAGATCCACACATTTTATGTTTCAGGCCTTTAGACTTCAGTGGAGCTCCTTTAAATTTTTTACAAATACTGTCATTAGAAATAGAATTATAGCATTTGTATTGTTTGATGACCTAACAGCTTATAAATTGTGTGAAATGATGTTTAATATTTAAAAATTATTATAACATACATTTAGATTATGATTTGAAACAGGTCAAAATATTTTCAAACTGTGTTGAAATGATATATTAAGGTATAATGAGGGGATGCTGGACATAACTGCCTCATCTGTAGAGATGGTGGGAAAACCTAAAGAAATCTTCAAAGAGTTCAACAAAGGTCACACATCCACCAGGTATGAGTCATTTTAGCGTATTTCTTGACTTCTGTATTATTTAATCAATTTATGACACAAGATTTATGATACAAGGTTGTCTTGCTTATTTCTCTTCACACCTTCATCATTATTTCATCTTTCGGTAATTCATTTCAAAATTGCAAAGCACTTATTATATATATATTACGTTATTCAATGAATTCCATATCACAATAGTCTTGTTTTGTAGATAATCTATTAGGCTTGAAAAATGATTAGTTTTGGCGTGGACTGCATATGCAAATATCAGTCCTGTATTGATGCTTTATGTTTTAATGTATGCATACTTCCTTGAAGTATTGTGTCTTATTTTCCTTCTAATTGATGGAGATACACTTGTGCAAAATTATTTTAGGCTTGGGCGTTATATTTTTGTTGTACAGCCATTGTCCACAACTTTGTCAGACAGCCGTCCCACATTGAATTTATATGTTAATATTCTGTGTTTTTATCTTAGACTAGTGGAGTTAAACATTGACCGAGGAATGAGCTGGGAACAAACTTTAACAAGGGCAGATAATCACAGCCAGAAACAAGATGGGTTTTATATCTCCAGACGAGATGTATGGGGCAAGAAACTATTTATTCTAGCTACACAGAAAGAGAACTCCACACATCTGTTTAAAATAGCAAGGTATGAAATAAAATCTTGTCATGCAAACAATAAATATGGAAATGGTATGCAGTGAAATTGTTGTTTTACTAGTGGAGACCTATGCATTGTGTCTCTTCATTATGTGATTTGAAGCATGTGACACCTTCCTGTAAGCTTGAAGGATAGCTTTTATTAGTTTTAAGTGCTGAATAGAACTTACATAATATGTAGCTTTAATGTGGAATAGAACCTGTTCCTTTCTTTGATTTAAAGACACTGAAATTATTCAAAGACAACAATTTCAAGCAATTTGCCAAGAGGGCCTTTTCATAAAAAGACAAAAAGTACACATACAGAAAAATGTTTTCAAAGTTTAGAAAGGGTTGATCATCGTAACTTTAACCTTAAATATCAGCATGTAAAAACCTTTACCAATTTTGCTTGTTGTATTTATTTAAAGTATAAATCATAATGTTCTATCTGTCACAGACCAAACACAGGGTTATCATTCTTTGAAGAGGAGAAAACCGATCTGTTGCAGAGATATACTAAAATAGATAGAGCTGATGCAGGTAAGGTTATTTTATACATCAGTCATTAAAGAACACAGTAGAGGTCATATGGCAACTTTCCGACCTCATGTGCCCCTCAGGGTGTCATGTCAGGCCTGAAAGCGAACTTAGTAGAACCACTACATTTAATAAGCTAGCTGGATAGCTTCCCCTCGTGAAAGAATCCAAAGTCTTTGGCAGGATTTGAACCAGTAACATTGAAGGACAAGGTTACCATTCAGCCACACACACCCCTATTTACTGTTACTTATAATTTAGCTTAGCTTTAAGTTATGTTTATATGAACTTCTAATGTCACTAAATTTGATGAACAAAAATATTTCTGAGTCACATAGTTGCATTGGTTGGCAACTCTATTGTAAACCTTGGTTTAATTTATTATTTTATTATTTCAGAGAAAGGATGGAAAGAACAGTATGAAACTACAAAGTCAAGTTGTGTACATGGCTCTCACTGTAAGAATAAAGACTTTTGTAAAGGTAAGTATCATGTTGATCAGATTAAGAATTCAGATTTTATGTCTCATGGTGTATTTTGACCATAGATTATTTTCATGGTGAATTTTGCCTATAGATTATCGTGAAATTGCCAGTATTGATTCCATGTAGAAAATATAAGGTGTAGATATACCATGCTACAATTCATTGTTGTTGATTTACAGTTGGAAGTCGTTGCTATAGTCTACATCTTCTATGTGGTAGTATAGTTACATACATGAGTATTCTGGAGGGTACACTCAATCGCAATGCAACCAAGCTGAATCTCAGGTAGGAAACCACTAAATTATTAGAGCAACTATAGTATTTTATTTTATCTTGTGGTCACATATATGCCTCCTTAATTGCTATACTGCTTTATTTCATTAACAAAATCAACCCGAGAGAGATGTTAATCTTTGTAGCATACAAGTTTTATCTAAATTCATTGTCATTAATTTACAGTTGATATATTCACATGTAATCATTTAATGTTAAATTCAAAAGTGGTATATAAAGATCAATATAAGCTTATCTAGATTTTTGATTGTGTATGTGGCTTTTGTTGATATAACAAAATTTTACCAAAATTGCCAATAAGTTAGTTTAAATGGGTGGATTTTACAATACTTTATCAAGATCCTACTTGGAGCTCAAGCATCTTATCTAATTACATGTTACTCAAGTAGAATGCAAGCTGACACTTGGGAATTATCGTAACCAATTGAATAACCTTTGAAACCTCATAGTTCTATAAGAAATGCTTTACTTAAATGATATCTTATCATGTAAATATTGCATTGTAATGCTTACTTGTCTACAATATTGTATTTTCAGTAAAACAGAATCATCTATCCGTGTTGTAAGAGTAAAGTTAAACGATGGTGAACGTGTAGTAGGAATAAGATATCCACAACTACTCATACCAGAGGTGGAGAAAACACTGAAAGAACAACGATTTATAGAGAATGCTCAACAATCTGTAAGTTCACAGTTGCTTTTTTTGCACTGTCTATAAAGTTTTTGGGGGCGTCCATTGCCAAAGGTTAAGGTTGTTGACTTCAGACCTCTAACCGTTGTAGGATTGAGCCACACATATACTGTATTGGTGCGACATAAACTGTGGGGGCATATACATGTAGATTTGATTTGCCATTGTCCATGCTTCCTGCTGTCCTACTGTAGACTCGCAAAACAAAGTCAAATTAGGGGCATTCTTGTCCTATGGTTTACTTGTCATAAGAGCATTGAAGATCCTGAAAAATTTGATTGTAGCAATTAAGTTTCCCATAGTCTTTTTCTCCTTGATTAATACCTCTGCATAGTGAAATTTTCTTTGAACATTTAATGATTTTGCATGAATAAGGGGTCATAATATTAGTGTATTATTTTTCTGTTATGTTTTGAGCAATATTTTCTTGTGTTTACAGCAACCTCAGATGTCACAGTACTTTCCATCTAGTCAGGGAGTGTATAATGGACTCTCCCAAGCAATCATGATGTCACAAAGCATTAATGGACTACCCTCTGGTACCAGTGGACTATTCCAAGGAAGTCAGCTATCCCAGAATTCCAACAGTACCACTGCATTTCAAAATGGACTATCCCAGTCATCGAGTGGACTTTACCAGATGCCAAATACAACTGCAGTCAATTTAAATGATTCCAATTCATTGGACCAAAATAATCTGCCAAATGGATCAAGTTCGGATACTCAAAAAACAGTTGTTCAGGATGTCACACCAGTTAATTCTAAATGTTTAGCAAAGGCGCTAAAACCTCCATTGACCATTAAAAACTTTTTTAAAACCTCTTTAACTCCGAAAAATGAAAGCAGTGAAACCAGCGATTGTAGGAATGTAGGCAATAAATTAGATACAGTAAAAAATACAAAAGAAATAAGTTATGAAACTTTTCTGAAAAGAGCAGACGTAGGTGAAACAAGTAGTGCATGTTCTTCTATGGACTTGGATAGTAAGTCTGAAGAAGATACCAGTAGTGAATGCAAGGTAACGAAAGTTGAAACTGAAGATACCGGTAGTAATTCGAGCTCAAATTCTAAAATGGATTCTTCAAGAACTTGCTCTTCATATTTTACGACCAGTTCTTCAAAGAAAAGAAGCTTGGACTATCCATCCAGCTCTCAGCCTAGCAAAAAGCCCAAACAGGCTACGTTGTTTTCAACATTGAAGAAAATGAAGACGAAGAAAGAGGAGGAAGAGAATAAATCTGCGACTTGTCCAATATGTTGTAAAGTTTTTGAGAAGGGTATTTCAAATGCAGATTTGAATTCTCATATAGATAACTGTATCATAGAGTGAATTGACTGTGATAAAAGACATTAACTTGGCAATATTACAAATTCTATAGAATGCTTGAAGCATGTATCTGCTGAATTTAATTTTTAGCTCGACTGTTCAAAGAAAAGGGAGAGCTATTGTTCTCAAGTCGGCATTGGTCTTTTCTGTCATAGTTTGTTACGTTTTTGCATAAAAGTTGGTATCTCCAAAACTACTGAAAGCAATGGCTTGAAACTTCACACACTTATTTAAGAGCACAATAGGTCACTGTCCAAGGCCCATAACTCTTATCAATTTGATCTTAGTAAGAAATTAATATTTTGTATTTTTAGAAATTTTTCCTCAGTCAAGTTCCTTTAAAGCTGCATGCCATGTGTAAAATACTTTCTTTGTTCACTTCACAATATTTTACTTTTAAAACATTTTCAAAATTTTCATGAAAATTAGCATGAATCTGGAGGCATGTTCCTTTAAGAAATAAATTATTTTTACAGATAAATTTGAATTTCTATAGATTTGTTTAATTGAATGATACCTGTTCAATTTATCAAGTAAATTTTTTCACTTAAAAGCTGTCATTACCTTGAGAAGTACTGTTCAACAGTCTAGTCTAAAGTGATGTTAGGTAAATAATGTGATAATTGTACAGGAGTTTCTCTCTCATAATCATCATATATTTTTCTAGATATTATTGTTTTTCCCATGAGCATGTTTGTGGGTTTTATTCTTATGTTTATATGTATAATCCATTTCAACTATAGAATTTTTAAACTTTATCTCTTAAAAATTCACGAACACCCTGCAGGATTGGGATTTGCCTTTATTCTGAAATCATGAATGATGATTTTTGGTCATTTTTCTATGTACTTGAATAATTGCTTTAGTCTGGTTTTTAAAAAAAAATTTCTTTGTTAATATTTCATTCATCACATTTGATATTAATCTAATGGTGCTCAGGTCAGCTATTTTTGTGTTTCCCTTTCTTTGCATACACATGTTTACTGTTAGACTTGTTCCGTTTATATCTTGACCAGATGACTAATTAAAGCAATTTAAGATTTATCATTGCCAGTTTTCTTTTACTACTTACTACTAATATAGAATAAACAGAATCCTTAAAGGACACCCTGAACGGCAAAATTGAAAATGTTTCAGGCTTGGTTTGATTGAGCCTGTTCATGGACGGTACTGGAAAGTGCAAGCTACCGTCCACGCCCCCTAGCATCTGCTTAAGGATAATTCAACATTTAAACAGGAAATCCTGTCAAACACATGCTATATGCACAGAAGAATGAAATACAGGAGTGATGAGGAGCCTTCCATGACCAAGTGGTTAATGCTGTTCATTACACATGTGACAGCTAAAACCTGAATTATTGCAGGAATTGGCAGGGAGTAAATGTGTGAAAGCAAATTCAAGCAAATTTTCCATTAAGTTATTAACAGGTTTAATAACAATAACTTGAAGGATTTCATTGATTGTGTTTACATGTATATTTGGCATGACAGAAAGTTATATCGAAAAATAACTAAAATTTGGTCCCGAGTGTGGTAACTAATGATATATAAAACTGTAAAATAATTAACAAATAAAACAAATGTTCACAATGTGATATTTTATTTGAAAACAAACAACAAAGTTGAACTAAAGATATTATCCATAGAAAATATTTTTATCCTGAACAAAACCAGACATCACATCAATAATAATGCATGTGTATTCATTCCTATATACATTGTACATGTAATTTATATTTATGTAAAACATACAAGTTCCCAACTGTCAAATAAAATTGCCACTGTAGTAAAATTTAGTAAATTTAATACAGTAATTACTTGTAGATCACAATTTATTCCACAGTTACAGTGTACCAGTTGGCAGTGTGATGCTCTGTCACTGGCAAACACTACATAGTTTAACCCTTACAGTGCATATGGTAATTATACCAGTAGTTAATGAGAATCAAATATGACCTGCAATCTGTTTTATGACTAGTCCAATACAATGTAGCTGTATTTTTGAATTTTGGTGTTTAAGGTCAGTCAATCACACTATTATAAATGTATAATTTTTATTTGCTTACATTATAATGTTGACTTGGTATCTATACTGAAACAAAAAAGAAACTTTCTCCAAGTTTGAATGTAGATATGTTAGTACAGTTTTTCAATCCTTTTGTAACTCGATTTTTACGTTGAATACACAGCGGGATTTTATACGTGGATTAGCTGATCGATTTTGCAAACAAAACGAGTTTTACAAGCTACTTCATGTATATAAGTGTGTACATCTAAGTGGTACCCTTGAACAACTGGCACATACTTTGCAAAAGTTTCTTTTTTGGTTCAGTATATATATAGTATATTTTAATAAAATTAAAAAAAAAAATGATTTCCACGGTAAGATGTATCAATATGATCCAACTATAATTTCCTTATTTATGAAAAAGAATATTTATTTAAATAATAACTTAAGATTGATTCATATGTGAACGTTTGAAAATTCATAACATCATTGATTAATTTGAATGTTTTTTTATTCCAAGTTGTTAAGAAGCACATGTTACATTTTTAAACATCTATCAAGTCTTTTTTTTTTTTTAAAAATCAAACCAACAGAGAAGGTCCTTATTATGCTTTTCTCTCGTCAATTCGTGACTCTTTATTTTGAAAAATTGCACTTGCACAACAAATATCAGACATACATACAGTGCAATTAGTGCATTTGTTAAATAAATTCATTATCTAAAAGTTCAAAAAACTTTAAATTACTTCTAAAAACAACCGCTCAAAGATTAGAGCATCTGAACATTTCAACCATGACTGTCTTGCTCAGCTGGATGCTTACCCATTGATTTGTGAAATCCGATTCACCCTGTGGCGTCATGAAAATAAAGGTGCTCACACCACTAAATGTTTGCATGGTTATTTTCAGTCCGATCTGATCAAAATATGTTTCAAAGTCTTAAGTAAATTCTTACAGCATAATGAATATTTTTTTGGCTTAATTGTAAGTGTGTTTGATAAATTATAACATCTTTATCGGATATTTTCAAGTAATAAGGTCATCAGCTGATTGTAGGGTAAGCACATTTACGCCTGTTCAGTTACGCATTTTGATTGGATAGAATTGTCAAATCGTGTGTCTAATAAAACTTGTGTAGTTTTCGGATGGTGTATGCCCTTGCGGAAGTATTTATACCAGTCATTTATTTAGGTCACAAATCGATGGGAATAAGGCATACATGTAAATTTTACATAAGAAAATATAAATTTATACAACTTGCTTACTAAACAAGTCTAAAAAAACAAAATGTGATGCACTTTTACACTATGTTATACCTTTTGTTTCATATTTGAATGTAACTATCAAATTATCATGTTCCTAAAAAGCCTTAATGTTACAATCCATAATATATGCATGTTACATGTCTATTGCAGATGAACGTAGACACCAACAAAAATTCCAAATACCAACAGTTCTGTGAGTCAGTGTACTTGTACATGTACCGCTACAAGGCTTCTGTTAACGGGCTTGAATTACACCCGAGAATCCACGTAACTGTATGCCAAAAATTAAGATCAAAGACGTACCACTGACTTCCTAAAATTTAACATCTGTGCCTTAAGAGTTAACTTCTTTCTTCTCACTGTGCTTACATGTTTAATAAAACTTCTGTCAATTACACTGGTCCATATTCATAATGAGACCAATTGTTTCATGAATTTTCTGTTGTCAATATCTGCGTTTGTAAGTCTAAAATTTATGACATATTTCGTTTCTTTTGTATTACAATAGCAAAAACTTGATCTTCACATTCATTCCTGTCATCAGGTAATGTAGATAAATAGTTTCATTATTCACTTGATACTTACATGAAGTATAAAGAATAATATGATAGATTCAAAACTCTCCATGTGTCATTTCATGTACTTAAAATATTCATACTGCGAAACTCAACAGGTATAAAACACCATCAGAATCTCTTCAGTCCAAAGACGGTCAATTTCACCAAAATGACATGATTTTATTTTGAGATAAGATTAATTATGACACTATAGCGGATTATTTTCCTATACGTTGAACAACCCAGTCCTGCTGGCATAGGGGACATCTGTTGTTCTGTTTAACCCATAACGTCATACAGCAGTTGTGGAAAGAATGATTGCACTCGCCCCATACAACTGAAATAAAGAAATTGAAATATCATATATATATAAAGACTCAAAAAGTTTTGATTAAAAAAGAAAATAATGCACACATCAAATGATTGGCTCATTTTCTTAAGTGGGTACATTACATTAATGAAATATTGTTTATAACATTAACAATTGTTTTACAGAGAACAATTGATTGAAGTTCACATAACATTTTTAACATGGAATCATCCGAATGACATGTTTAACCTGAAAACAGTAGAAATGTACATGTATGTTTTGTTACCGCTTGATGTAATTAAGTTCACTTCCTCTAAAATGTTCACATAACATTAACATGTACAAATTTGTAGTTATAAGAGATCATACTACATGTAGTTGAAGGCTCACCCTAACAGAATAGTGCCTGTGCTTTTACAAAGAAAAGTAAAACCTTAAATAAATAAATAATCTAGTGGTAATAACATTTTGTTCTTCTTTAAAATGACATCTAAGTAAAATACAAATAATACAACGTAATAGTTACCTACCAACACAATCATCTTGTTTGTTTTCTGACTGGCATCTCAAACAAGCATCTGAAATTGTAGAATATACAGAAACATTATAAAATGTAACTGGGAAAAATAACAACTACCTACTTACTAGCTAGGGAGTGTTTCAATCATTAATGGTTACTCTGCAAATGAATTGGTTTATATCATTATGTCTACATGTAGTTGTAAAAATGGTCTGGTTTTGCACTCTTAACATCAGAATTTTCAAAGTCGATCTTCTTGTAATAGTCACAAAACTATCAAAATTGAGAAAGTTGAAATCAATTTAATTAATTTATAATAGAAAAAGCATGCATTTAATGATTTATTGTTGATAAAAAGTGGCTGATTGAATGGCAACCACTGAACAAAGAGAACCTAGTTTGTTTATTTCTGATATTGTTGACATTTGTATTTGATGCTTGGGGGTATCAAAATTTCTTAAATTGTCGTTGCTACAGTACCATGTGTCCGGACAGATATTTATAACTTTAATCTAATTCATATAATGGCTTTAGTTTTATTTTTTTATAATTGTAACATAAAATACAGTTTTCCAGCAGCATGTGCTGAAATTTTGATTAATCCTTTTTAATTCTGAAAATGATAAAAGCTTGTAAAGGAGGTCAGGTATTTCACACTTGACATTGATCAGACTTTTAATGTCAACATTCTTGTAATAGCACAAAACTATTAAGACAAAATAAGTTTAATTAATTAAACGTAGAATAAACATTCTAAAGTGTTTTGCTTACCACACCACAATGCATTAATTGTTGATATTAGAGTGGCTGATTGACAACCAATGAACAAAGAAAATTATACTAGGAAGTGGCTAGCCGTACGGGCCCGTACGGCTAGCCAAAAGTTCTAGCCGTACGTGAGTCACGTACGACTAGCCTGGACACACTGTATTGGCTAGCCGTACGGCACTTTTCAAAATTATATGGAAGTCGAAAATGCATATGTTATTTTTGTGTCTTTAAACGACGATTTTAATCAAATCTCCGCATTTGTCCTAGTGTGTTCACTTTAATAAAGATGCTCCGCAAATTTGCAAAAAAAAAATGAATTCGAGTAAGCGTTGTATAATCTATCTTAATAAAATTAAGTGTCTTATAGTTGCATGTTATAACGTCCTTAATTTTCATGCTTATGATTTGTATGAAAGATGAATTGTTAAATCTGTTAATTAAGCACATGGATCGAATAAATAATGATCGGAGGGGAATGAAATAAAACGGTGAAAAGGAAAAATAATTTAATAATGCAAACTTTCCTTAATGATGGACGATGGACAAACTTCTATACCGTCGGTATTTGACGCAATTATCAGAGACCGACAACAATTATTTTCGGTGTGTTTTTTTTTTTTTTTTTTTTTTTTTTTTTTTTTTTTTTTTTTCTATCAATTTAAAAATTAAATTTAATGAAACAAAAAAGGATTATTATCAAAATTTTGTTAACTATTTCAATTGATGTTATTTAATTGCAACAAAACGCTATTTTTTCTCGACGTCTTGAGATGACAAAGTACGTACATTCTTTACTGTAGCTAACACGTCGATTAATCTCTAAAAAGTAAACATTCTTGACTAAAATCCTAGCTTAAAGTCACAATTAACATATGCACTTTCGCCTTCCATATATTTTTGAAATGTGCCGTACGGCTAGCCAATACAGTGTGTCCTGGCTAGTCGTACGTGACTCACGTACGGCTAGAACTTTTGGCTAGCCGTACGGGCCCGTACGGCTAGCCACTTCCATTATACTAAATAAAGTGTTCTTTGGGGCCGTCCGGGTTTGATGGTTGTCCGGTTTTTGGTGGCACTCGTCCAAATGTCTGACAACATATATTATCAGTTCATGTAATTGTATTTTTTACCATAATGCCGATTACTGATCATGAATCAATGCGAATAATTTAAAGCACTGAAAAATTATGATGAATTTTTAACAAAACAAAAAAAATAGACAATTTTTATTAAAGAAATTCGTACCCATTACTTGTACTCTGCATATAGCACACGTATCACATTCTACATCCCAGCTCCACATAGCTACAAGGTTCCATTTCTTCAATGTAAACATTTTGTCTGGTTTTTGTGCTACTTCTCTGTCAACTTCCATTTCGTCAGCCATCTTTGTTTTCACGTTTCATAGACGGATTCAAGTACGAAAAATGCGGACTACAAATAAGGTTATAAACTACTAAATTACACACTGGTGAGTAATAATATCCATATTTAAAGAAGGTAACACATTAAGAAACGCGGCCTTCTGAAAATAGAAAAACAACAATAACAATAGAACATGCATGTGTAAAAAAAAATGAATGTATAATTTGTGTAATTTTTAGAAATTTTTATAAAAATTATGCTTGCCTGAAAAATATCTTGTTATATTTTCTTAAGTCGACATCATTACCAAGTTTTTAAGGAATCGTCCAAGGTTTCAAAACTTAATGTTGTATAAAAATCTAACTCTAATTACGTAATAAATTCCGATTATTTCTTAATTTACTCTTTACTTTTTTTAATACTTTTAATAATAATAAAAAGTTTTTATCTTACTTCTACTTCTGTTTAGTATGAGCCATGAAGAGTTATCAGGAAAAAACTTTAAAAAAAACTTAATAAGGATCTTGTTAAAGCTAATGAGAAGTTATATATTGACTTAATTCAGTAAAAACATAGTAGAATTTTCCTGTTTAGGATAGAGAAAAAGATAGGTCTGTATAATGTTAAAAATAATTACAACTTCGAGTTTTAAAAGTTCTAATTACACTTTTTTAACCCCTACTGTTATATGTCCTTATTAGAAATGTTTAAGTCCAAATTAAGTTATTTATATCTCCTTGATAGGAGTAAATAACTTATACACGTAATTATACGCTTTTATGATTTAAATTTGATTAGGATTTTGTTCTACATCTACATCATACTGCTATAAAACTGTTGAACTGTTAAACTTAGCAGGAGTGTTGTCTTGGAATAGTTGTTGAAATATATATGTTTTGTGCAAATTATAATAGAAGAGAGCAGTTTAAAAGAAATAACAAGACTAAGATTAAAGCAGTCTAGTACTGACTTAGAACGGGAAGAATTAAGAGGTTCAGCTAACCAGTATGTGTGTGTATAGATGTCTTAAACTGGGGCTAGCTTGTAAGGACATGGGCAGACCATTCCACAGACGGATAGGTCTGCTGTTCCATGGAAAAACTAGTAGGAGTGATACTGTGTCTTTGAGTACAGTGCGTATCAGGTAGTTTGAAGATTTTTTGTTGGTTATAAATGGTGACGGTAAATCCTCACGTGATTGTGTTGTATTTTAAATACGAAAGTCACAGAGCTAATATTACATCTCTTCTCTTGTGTTTACCTGCTTAGGTTTTTTTAACATTTGAAAACACTACTCTCTTGTAATTGTAGTCGTTAAGTACATATTTGGCTTCTGATCATTGGACTTGAGTGTTCAAATTTATATATTAGAAATTTTGCCAAGGATGGACAACTATGGAACAGTATTCTAACACAAGCTTAACTTATATTTTAAAAGCAGTTTCTTTGGCCGTTTTTTTAAACATTTATTTTTATAAATCCGAGTGCAGCCATAATGAATTTGAATTCTTTATCATGAAGTTTATTAGGACATATTACAGGATATTTCTTTCGGCTGATTCTTATGATCCCACTCTTATAAGGAATTAATTTCCATAGACCAATGTGATTCCCAGTTTTAAACTGTGTTTTCTTAAAACCTATGTCAAATGAATGCTTTACTATCGACATGCATGCAGTTAGATACATATACTGTATGTTTACGCTTAGAGGCACTAGGTCTACATCAACTTGGATAAATTTCTGATATATGCAAGAAAATTGGTCGTTATTCAAGTATAATAATAATAACAACAATAATAACAATATTAATAATAATAATAATGATGATCTTTATTTAAAGAATATTACACATTAAGAACATACAATAACAATCATATATATCTTATTTCCAATGTGGCCTTCTGAAATAGAAAACAACAACAACAACAACAACAACAGGACATGCATAGGTAGAAAAATGAATATATAATATGTAATTTTTAGAATAATACAACTCATATACTTTCGACAGACACTCAACAATTTGTTTAAACATATACGTATATTGCATCATTCTTTCGTTCGTTCATTCGTTCGTTCATTCATTTATTCATTCACTCTTTCATTCATTCGTTCGTCCGTTCGTTCGTTTGTTCTCTCACTCACTCACTCATTCATTCATATGAACATCAAGATATGCTTTGTATTTTTCTTTAAAACATTTAAGGTTATTAACATTACGAATATTTAAAGGTATATTGTTCCAAATGATAGTATCTGTAGATAAGGTCACAGACACTTGGGGAGTGGAGCTCAAAATGCCTTTAAAATCCAAATAAAATGTATATTAGTCAATCCCAGAACATGAACTGATCATATACGAGTATAATTATATATATAAAAAAACCTTAATATAAGCCGTTTTGAAAAAAAAAACACAAACATTTATCAACGTCTATAATATATACAGTAAGTTATAAGTTACTATATATTAAGTTTTTTATATATATATATATGATTGACAAATATACATTTTTTTATTTTAAAGGCCTTTTTAGCTCCACACCCCAACCATACTAAAAGACGTGCTTGTAAACATTACTTAATGTGCTAAAAACAGAGGGTACGTTACGATACCGAAATCAACTTGATTTCGGTAAAGTTACCGAAATCAACTTTTCATTACCGAAATCAACTCGTAAAAACCAACCTATATTATTTCTTCATTATTTGATGAAAATTAGTGAAACAGACTTTCAGTTAAAAAATCTATTGAAAATATTTTATTTTAATGTTGTTATTAACAAAAATAGCCTGCCCATCTGTACTTTTGTTAGATTTCTTTGTTATTTTGCTTATTTTCAATATTTACATATATGTGACATGAAATAGTCTAGATATTCATGATATTATCACTAAACCAATTACTTGCGAGATGATCTGTGGTATTTAGCGGTGTAAACCCTTCGCTTCAAATCTCGTTAAAAAACGAGACGTTGTTGGGATGGTGATTGAGATCGTTTCAAAATGGCGTGCAATCTGAAACCCTGGTTGAATCCACACCATGCAATTGTAGAATTTTCTGATTCTGCTCAAGCCCCTTGCAAAGATTTTTACCATGTTTTCGTGACAGAAAACGAGGTTATTATTTTAAAGTTTTATTTCACTTTTGCTAACATAAAGTTGCATAGGTATTCCGTTTTACGTTCTTCAAAAGTCATGTAAACAACTATTCGTACTCAAAATCATTCGAACATACGTTAGGCATTTCTTTAATAAAATCCACTGTAATCCCATGGAAGTTTTGTAAACAATAGCAGAGCCATAGATATTGAAATAATTTGTTACACAAATGTTATATTTGTGCATTTTTTTCAGATTATATTTCGTTGGTGGAAAATTGTCCCTCCAACCCGAGCAGACTCACATACACCTCCTCAGGAACGTAGACACACATATGAAGAATTTTTAGAGGATGACGCAGTACATAGTATGTAGATCATATATTTTAGTAATATTAACAAGTATAGACAAACTAGGGGCATCCATTCCCAAGTGGTTCAGGCTGTTGACTTCAAACTACATTTATTTGCCCTTCACAGTTGAGATATCGAATACCGCATGGGACTTATTTAGTGAGTGGGAGCTATCAAGCTAGCTTACAGAAAAAAAATAAGTTGCTCATTTGTACTTGAAATAATGCATGGGAATGCACCCAAGATTTTCATCCACAAGTAAAGCTGGAAAGTTGCCATATGATCTCTATGTCTCAATCCAAATCATAATTTTATAATACTGTATATCATTTAATAAAATAATAAAGTTGAGGTACACAGGTACAACACCAGATCAAGTTTCAAGATTTTATTAGCTGCTAGTTTCGAGTAAATTATAATACTCTTCATCAGGCATATATATAATATATGTTAAGATACTTTTTTGTATGTCTTAACTGTTGACACTGAATTAAAAGCTAAAAATCCCTTTCACTGACTCTATTGAAAATTTTAAACATTCTAACAAGCTGGGTTTTTTTGTTTTGTTTTTTTATTTTCTTATACTATTTTTTTTTTTTTGGGGGGGGGGGGTTTAATATAGTTTTATTTATTTTAATGATTAAAATGATATTAAATTATAAATGATTGATTACTTTTAGAATTGAGCACTGTAAGTTAGATGTTGTCATGCCACATTGTTTGAAAATGGTTTAAAATTACTGTCACTTATTTTTTATATGAAAGAAATAAACCTAGTGTACAGTTTAAGTATCCAGTATTGAAGTTATTTGGCTATCTTATTCAACAATTATTTTTATTGTTTCACACTTGTTTGAGGTTCATACCACCAATTGATAATTGTGTTGTATTTTATAATAAAACAAATACATATTTAGGTTTTAAAGTTTTAGTTAAACCTAACATTTAAATGATATTAAGAATTGCACTGATTAAAAGGTTGTGTAAATAAAATAGATATTCTTCATTTATTGATGCAACCTGCCTATAGATGTATTGTGGTCTTTGTACAAGTGTAAATACATAAGAATGAAACCAGTACTTTGTTGAAAATCAGCATAAATTACTTGTAAACAAGTATTATAAAATTAAATGCCAAACCCCTATGGAATATACATCAAAAATTTTGTGACCCTTTTTAGTAAAAAATCCTGTATCTGCTCCAGGCAACTTAAGAGAATAAAATTTGTTGAATAGTAACAATTTCTGAAAATCTTGCTGTTTGTTCACCACATTCTTTGCCATTCAATTTCATTAAAAAATCATTAAAATACCACTTAAACCATTTATTTTTTATAGTTTACCACTGAATTTCATGAGATATCATTAAGATACCATTTTTAATTCTTGATTCACATTGTTTTGAGTAATCATTTAAAACCATTTATATTCCATTGAAAGTCCTCATGTGATACCATTAAAAGCATTTTTTAGACTCAAGCTCATTTGCATATCAAGAAATCATTAGCATATTATGGCAAATTTCAATGGTATTTCAATGGTTTTAGATGGCTGCAGTATACTTTACATGTATATACATGTATGTAAATAAGTAAAATTATCTTTCAATGGTAAGTTTCCAACAAACAAAAAAATGGTAATTCAATTAATGGTGTTTTTTTTTTTAAATAAATACTATTGCATTTTGATAAATTTTAGTATTTACATCTTGAATCCAAAAATTTTAATTTTTAGTAACATATATTTTAAATGAATGACCAAATGACATTCCATAATGTTATGTTCAGTTATGTTGTTCTCATTATATAAGTTATTGCAAATATTTTTTTTTTTATAAAGGGGGTAAGAGTACTGGAAGATTATCATACGAATTAAAACCAGATCTGATAATTATATGATACAAAGATCATTTCTCTAACAACCTGAGTTCAATTTCATTTTTAATTTCAAATTTCTTGTCATTACTTGTAGGCGAGATACAACGACTAGCTGGTGACAATGTTCTTCAGTATTTGAAAAGAATTGCAGAGGGCCGAATAGATTTCTTGATGCGAATGCCCGATGATGTATTGAAGAAGATTCTCCTGTGTCTTGACCTTGAAGATATGATGAGACTTGGTGCAACATGTAGACAGTTCAGACATGTATATTATATAATAATAATTCTAATTCTAATTATCAGATTACTGAATACTCGGGATACAATAAGAATTTCACCACAACATATTTGTTAACAAAAGAGCACAAGTCAATGTTTGTGGTTAAATCTATAATGTTAATCAAATAAAATATCAGAGTAGGGATCTATCAGTTATCATGCCAGACAATTAGCTTGTTACCATGTATAGAGTTAGGTCATGTTATCTTTAATTATCATGTTGACAGCTGATACATGTTCTGTTATAATGAGACTTTTAGTTATTTTTATTCAAGATCAGACATATTTAATTGTCACATAAAATTCAGACATGATTTATCTCTCTACATAATATAAAAATATTCATTCAGCACTTTTTCATTTACAAATTCAATCAAAACTGCGAAATGGAAGCATCCTTACCGCACATTTTATTTATAAAAGGTGTGTTGGAATGATGACATGTAAAGCATAAAACTTGTCTTTCATCAGTGGTGTACATTGTAAGACAGGTTTTTCTAGCGCTGATGTAAACAGTAGAAAAACCTATAACAGATTAAAGAAATATACAATGTTATAATGTCATTATTATCTTTAAATTATCATGCATAAAATGAATGTCTATGCAATATCACTACCTATAGTCATCATATGTCTAAGTTTAATATACATCAGACATAAGCCTATTCAGAACCTTTTTGGTTACCTCAGTAGGATTGTTTATTTAATTATAAATGATTTAACACATTTTGTTTTGTTTATTTATTGATATAGTTGTGTAATGAAGACGATGTGTGGGAGAAGATTTTCCGTCGTACAGTAGAAACACCAGTAACAAGTGAACTAGAGACATTGGCAGAGAAAGAAGGCTGGAAACGTCTTTTCTACACCAATAAACTGCAGTTACAGGTAAAATTTACAGCTTTCAAGCACCGAAATCACCATCATATAATATTGATTTTATCTATACATTTTTCTTTGAGTTTCCATGTGAAATAAAAAAAAGACTGTAATTAATTTATTTAAAATGTAAAGCAAAAAAAATCAGTTAAAAATTGTAATCATAATATTCAGGCTGGTATTGAAGATTAAGCTTTAATCAAAATTAATAAAATTAATAAAGAATGAATATCAGTCCATTATTGTTATTTGTAATTTGTACAATTTCTGTTGTTGTTGTTGTTGTTGTTATTGTTTTGTAATAATGAATGTATATCTGGTATTGTAAATCACAGTGTTTCTGTAGCTAGCCATGGATTAAAACTTTAAAGTTCCCTACCCATTAATTATTTCTAGATAATATTATAAACTGTCTGTAAATAAACACAAACATGTAGTTCTGAAAGTCCTACTTTGGTTTAAAGTTAACAAGTTCTAAATGTAAATGATTAAGCCTTGTATATTGAGTTTAATTTAGAAATTGACCTATCAACATGTTAGTTTGGTCTATGCTACACCCTGAAAATTTCATAATTCTTCTCATTTTATATTCCTAGAAACAGTTTAATCTTAGAACTGAATAAAATGTTCAAATTTAAACTGTTCTGTAGCACTAAAACATTTGTGTGATAATTGTGAACTTTTGCAAGATTTCACTCATAGTTGAAAACGTCATGCTTGAGGACATGGTATATTATTCTGCTGAATCCAAGGATTAGAGATATAACTATTAGAGTGTTGATATTTCATGTCGATGAATATTACATTAATTGTTCACCAGTGTGAATCTAAAATAGTATAGAAAATTAAGAATTAAAGGCCACAATCCTAGATTAATTTCTTAGTCTGGCACATGGTTCTCCATTTTTGTACTTCAACAGTTGGACATGGTGCTAAACCTGCGTCATGTAAATATCTGCTTGACCAGTTGTACACACTGCAAGTGTCTTGCATGTTATTCTCTATTTTACCAGTTGTACACACTGCATGTGTCTTGCATGTAGTGGTAATTTTCTACTTGACCAGTTGTACACAGTGAAAATGTATGTGTCACATGAATATCTACTTGACCAGTTGTACACAGTGTAAATATGTGTCATGTGAATATTTACTTGACCAGTCATATAGGGTGCAAATTTGTGTCACATGAATATCTACTTAACCAGTTTTGCAGGGTGCAAATGTGTCAGGTGAATATCTATTTGACCAGTTGTACACTATGCAAATGTATGTCAGGTGAATATCTACTTGACCAGTTGTACACAGTGTAAATTTAATTTAAACAAATTAATCATACAATATAGGTACAGCTGAGGCGACAAATGCGGCTTCAGCAGCAACAGCAAAAGTAAACAACCATGGTATATAACAGGGCATTGTGGTTTATGGTTTTTCACCATCTTTTCATCTTTGTTTATCTAACCTTGTTTTTTTTTCTACAGATGAGAAATTCATTTTTATTTTTCTTATCTCTATTTCTTCATAAGTTTTCTATCAACTTAAAAGTTTTGACTTATCACAACCTCCTGTCTGAATGTGATAATATACAGTGTTAAAAGACTTGAAAAAAATTTGTTAATGTTTTTCTTTTAATACTGAAATAGCAGTTTTTATGTGCTGTATTAAAAGGCTGGCAAAATCTGTTCTTACTTATATAGAACAGACATTTTACTTAAATTATTATATCAAATATGAGCCTTCCTAGCCTTCAATTTTTTTTTCAAAAAACAGATAAATATTGGCTAGTAATTTTTAAGGAATATCTTGCCAAATAAACAATGGATGGTCTTTTTAATTTACCAACAATAGATGTAAAGACCTGATAAAATTACTTATTTGCTACAATTATAATTCAACAATAGCAGAGAGGAACGTTGTGATAAGTCTACTCAGAATTTTATTAACCAACTTACATCATACTTTCCTACTAGTGTCACCTATCTCAACAAAAATTTCATTAAAGATAATAATGAAGAAACACAACATGTCAACACCTGTGCAGGTTGAGTAATTTAATTATCAACCAGTTTAACGAACCTTCATCAGGATCATTACAAAATAAATTGCCTTTTGAATGTAAAAATGTCATTGAGGATGATGAAAATATAGACAATATATACCATGACATTAGCCAGTTTTGATGTTTATTATTATCATGATTCATCATTAATATAAATTAGTTTGAATAATTATAAAAGGTTCAGCTGCGAAGGCAGATGAGATTGCAGCACAAATTGATGCATTAAGATGACACGGTATTTGTTAGCAACCTCTGCACTTAGCTTCACTGCATTCCTTCCTTGCACTTTGCTAATAATATGGTAGTTCTGATATTTCAGGTGGTAGGATTTTATAATCTCCTAGGGAACTCCTGTAGAAAATTGATACATTGTATATTAAAATGTATTAGAAGAAGGTTTTACTGTGAAATCATTTTAAGGGAAAATGTAGGGCTAATTGACTTTATCATTGCAATTAAATAATAATAATAACTTTATTTTGAATAAAGAAAAACAGATTCCCTTTTATATCGCCCAAAAGGACAAAATTGAAAATGTTGCAGACTTGGATTCATTTAGTCTCACTCACTTCATGGACAGAACTGGAAAGTGTATTAGTTACTGTCCACACCACTTAGCACCAGCTTAAGCAGAATTCAATATTTAAACAAAAAAATGGTGAAATTTTGAATTTAGAAACATCCGCAGATGACCACACGTAGATTGTTCCAAACTTGAAACTGGTCCCAAGTCCATTTTACAAATTTATCATGATAAAGGTCAAAGTCCATTTTGATGTCCCCTTCTTAAAGAATGTTATTTTTTTATGAATTAATAATCATGTCTGTGTAAATATATTGTATGAAATTAACAAAAGTTACCCATGGTAAGACACTACATGTATATTGTGATTCCACAGAATGAAATGATTTCACATTAACCTTCAAATTCAGCTAACACAATTATTTATTCCATGTGCATTGTGCAAGATTCATATAGATGTACATGTTTCCAGTTAAAAGGATTACTTGAATTATCTCTAGATGTTCTGGGTTAAATCATTGATATTATATAATTGTCAGCAACACTTTTCATTGGGACAAGATTTATTATGACTATTGTTTATTAGTTGACAGCGGCTCGGAAAATCTTGAATCATAGCTGATAAAGTCTGCCTCACCTGAACAAGGACTGTAAGGTGGCATATAACAGTCTGAAAACTTAGTAAATACAAGGAATCTTAGCCATTATCTTCTTAACTAATTTATTTAGTTAACAGTTTGTTTTTTATTTAGTGAAAAAAGTTAACATCATGCGTAATTAAAGAAACAGAATACAAATATATAAGTAGAATATACATTAGTAATCATGATTAAATATTTGTATTTGCAATAGTTCATACTGAAAATTGTACTTAGATAATCTTGCTTGGTATACATTCTCTGGTTTCAACCAGAGAATTTTTGGTGTTCATATGTGTTGCAAGTATGCTAGAATCTATCCATGGCTTGTTAATTGTTTATTTGCCAGTTGAAAGAACTTATCCGATAGCATAACATTTCAATAGCATAATATTCCCCTAGCTTAAGACTTGAGTCTATTATTCTTGTATGCTGATTGGTTAAAGTCAAATTTGAAATTAACCAATGGAAAGGCACCATTTTTTCAGATTGGTATCCATGCTATAGCTTTAAAGTAGTGAAACTGATTTTTACATATACACAGAGATAACTTACCAAGCTTGGTATTGGCCAATAATTGCTTTGTAAATTTGATTTTGTACATTGGTATTTTGCAAGAATTAAGTATTGCACATTAGAAAACAGACTTTGTGGTGTATTAGACAAAGCTAAGATAAATTAAAATGATGTCCTATTAGCATTTTATCATCTTATAATATTGACATAATTAATGTTCTGCATTATTTAATCCATTTACGTTTTTGTGATAGACTTGTCAGCTAATAGAAAAAAAACCCTGTTTTTATAAGTTCATGGAATTTTTAGACACTTAAATTGAGAAGCTGACACAAATAGACTGTATTTAAGTAAGACTACAAAAGAAGAACAATGTTTGGGCAGTCAAGTGATAGCATAATACTTATTCATTTCTGATAGATCTTAGTGTTCATAATCATTTATCTCTTGTTTAATGATAATGAGTTACTTTTTTATCTAGTTTATTAAATAGACGTTTAGTGTTGGACCTTTTAATCTATCTTGTGGCAAATAGCAATGTATAGAGGGTTAATGCACCTTTTATTGTGCATTAACATCTCCAGAAGGACAATGGCTTGTGCTTCAATAAGTTTGAGGACTTCTGAAGATGTTAATGCGCAAAAAAGATACATTTAATAATAGCTGTATTATTCCATTAAAGTAAGTCTAAATTGTAAACTCCTAGTTTTGTTATCTGTATTTCGTATATAAAGAAACCATTGCTTGTACCATGCTTTCAAGGTGCTAGTGCGACAGTTTGACAGTAAATTGTTTTGATAATAAAACTACCAGGGCTGTCATTGCATTTACTAGTAGCTCAGTTTTTTATGTTACAATGTGCCCTGAGTCAAGCATATTAAAAGACATGCAACAATGGCATGTGGTCATGAGAATATATATCTATTTATTCATGTTTTCTTCTCTGTCAGTATATACCTGTATGGGCAGTTTTTATGTGAGAATGAATGTTGCTTTTGTACTATGACCACTTGTGATCAAATCTTGGTGAAACATATCATTAATGAATAAGAAATTTTTTATTAGTCACACAATTAATCATTTGTTTCAAACATTTATGTGATTGTATGAATGCTTCATTGTGAGATTCATGTTATACAATGTTTTATAATTACAGATGCAGTTGAGACGTCAGAAGAGGGAAGAGCATCCACCGCAGCAACAGATGGAGCAGATGAAAATTTAGTCACGCCCCCGTAAACCTCTCTCTGTGTGATGACTTGATTTCATACTTTATATTGTAGATAAACAAACAGGACAAGTAGATTTAGCTTTAAATTATAGACTATAATAAATTTATCCATGTGCCTTATTATTGAATTTGTTAATTATTATTATTATTAAGAACTGTTTTGACTGCTTTATGATGGTTTTGTGTTATATTCATATTAATTTAATTTTAATGGATCATCATTCCAAATGTGGTTACAATTTATACTTTAAAGATTACACGAATTAAATTTCAAAATTGTACATATCATCACCTTAGTGCAGTAATGGGTTAACTCGTATTAAATCATATTTATGGAGTTAACCCGTTACTGCACAAAGGTGATGATGTATTGACAGAATTTTGTTTGTTTTTGAACCAATATTTTGGAAAAGTTAGCATTTAGTACATCCTTGACAGGTTATACATGTATTTAGATATTGGGATTAAATGATACCATAATGTTGAATGATATTGGTTTTAATATTTTAGCCCAGCATGAAACATTAGCTGGATTTTGTGTCTGTTAGATATTTTGTTTCATTGATTCTGAGTATCGGGGATATAGTAATTACATTTCAAATATATGACACAAATCTTTCTTTTACTATTTTTGGGTATTATATTACAGCAGCTAATTAAAAAAAAATGGGTCAATTATGAAATTATTTTTCATACATAGTGTAAAAAAAAAGAGCGATTAATTTTTTTTTGCTGTGACAATTTTAAATGTGTGTGCATATGTGTTATATTCATGTATATCAGTATGATTTTTCATAAACATTTCATTATTCACAAAGTTACTAGTTGTATCACAACTTATTTGAGCCGCGTCATGACAAAACCAACATAATGGGTTTGCGACCAGCATGGATCCAGACCAGCCTGAGCATCCGCTTACAGACCCTATAACAAGTAAAGAAACTGATAGCGAACAGCATGGATCCTGATCAGACTGCGCGGATGCGCAGGCTGGTCTGGATCAATGCTGGTCGCAAATGCATAACGTTGGTTTTGTCATGACACGGCTTATTTCATGTTTTGAACTTTGTACATATGTCAGATGACTGGTGTATATTTGTATCGTAACTACTTCTACTTTGCTACCTTTTAATTTAGTTTGTATCAATTATGCAAAGTCTGTATGTATTTTAAAGCCAGCCATATAAAAGGATATTATGCTCAAATATGTTCTTTACTAACACTAAATATCAAGGGTACAGAGTTTTATATATATTATATTTTTGTAAGATTGTAGAAAAAAAGCAATTTAGATGTATTTTTGTAAGATTGTAGAAAAAAAGCAATTTAGATGTGCTGTTGGTCTTCTGAATACACCATTACAAATTTGTACTAGCATAATACGAGTCTTAAAGTGCACCTTTGGAATGCAAATATTTATATCAGCCTCTCACTGATTCATCTTAAAAGTATTTTTTACTTTGAATTACAGACTTCAAACTGTTTAATAATAATACAAGGTCAACATAAAACATTCATGTGCATAAAAAGGTATCTTAGAAATATATAAAACTTTATTGGTTACAATGTTTAGTGCACAAAGTACTTTAGTTAATATATTAAAATGTATTTATTTTGTTGGTTTAAGTTTCTTATTTATATTTTTTTCTTGAACAAAAATAAATGTTTTTGTCTGAAGTTCATAATAACTTTATGGAAATGAATAGCTTTAAAAGCAAAAGTCAACATTGAATGTTGAAAACCTCACAAAAACTGGTGCCATTTTATGAAAGACCATATTTGCCAAATAGATAGTGCTAATTCTTGTATATTTTCTGTCTGAGAATTCTTGTATATTTTCTGTCTGAGAAATCTTCCGTCCTAAATTAATAAAGCAAATGTATTTTATATATTTTTCAAATTTCTTCAATATTATTTAAATGAAATATTTATAGTACTTATTTATCTAAACAGTATTTAAATTCTTTATTATGCTGCTCATTTCTGTTTTCCGTCCATATCATTGAAGTAAAATCCTTGTGATAATTTTGAAAGCATTTATATATTTTGTTATAACATGTATGTAATTAAGTTTTTAGGATTTTCTTTTTTTGTACTTTCCACATCCGCAGCACCAGGTATGAAATTAGAAGTCACAATATAGTTGTCAATAGACTATCAACAATTGCACTTGTTTTGAACTGGAATGGGTGTTACACAAAGGGATATCTTAGTTATTTGCTCTCCTTTAAGAAATAGATTACAGCTGATAAACAAACAAAGATTTTCTTGCATAATTTTTATGGAAATTTATAGTTTTCTTATGTCTCATTAACAAAGCAATTAATTTACATATTACAGTTATTTTAAAACAATTATAATACATTCCAGTCTCTTAGAACTTAGAGTCACAACAAATATTAACTTTTATGTATATTCATTGTACAATGTAAAATTATTTTTTGAAGTTTATATTTGATTTATCTTTTACTGATACATTCCAGTATGTAAGATATTATAAACACAGAGTTACCTCCCATTATCAAACTCTGAAGTGTAATTTGCAATAAGTGTTAATTTCAAATGAATCCCTAGACCTTTATTTTACCTTTTTATTCTGTTTTGTTTGTAGTTATTTCAATCTAGAGTATCAAAACTTTTGTCCAGAAAATAAAAAAGTTAATTCATAATGTTAACTTAAACCATTATTTAGTAATGATTTCACACAGCGCTGAACTTTTATATACAAGAATGGAGTGATTGCTTTTTGGTGATCATTAATGCTATAAGAAATTAAAGTTTAATTATGCAAGAGCACTTTATTCATCACTATGAATTATTATATTAATATGAACAACAATAACTACATCAAAATGTAAATACATGCAAGTCACATTAAAGTATAGAACAGTATAAAACAGATTTAGTATACAACATTGTTCCTACAAATGATGACGTTATAACATATGAATATTGTAGCTCAGTTTTGGTACTCTAGTTTGTGAATTCAGAAGCTCAGTCACCTGAAAATAACTATCTTGTTCAGTTGAAGATATGTTATTATGACTTTGAATAAAGATCTGTTAATTTTTCACCCACCTATAATCCTCAATTGTGATATTGAATATAGCTTTATAAAATATTTAATAAACAGTATAATACATTTCCTGTGCTTGTTTTTTCTCTTTGAATGCCAAAGGTGAGAATCTGTTTGTATCGCTGTAGATTTGGATGATAAAGTCAGTGTCAAAATCAAAAGAGGGAAATTGTGGATGTGGTGAACTGACAGGAGGTGTCTCCCCTCCCATTGGTTGGGAGGATGGGGCCACACATGGAAATTTAAAGTGTTTACTGGAGTAGTCTGGTGCATTTTGTAGTGTTTTTGCTGCATCATAAGACACACAAATTCTTTTTACAATAACTGAAAAAAGAGCTTTTTATACAGACCTGTCATGTCATGTGTTCCTATTGCCATCTGAAAACTAACATTGATCATTTTTTTTGTGCCCCCACTATGGGGGGGGGGGGTTAGATTTACCTTTCTCTTTTTGTGTCGCACATAGCTCAAAAAGTAATTGACATAAGAGTCATGAAACCTTACAGGAATGTTGATCAGCATGTGAAGTTGTGCACCTGGGTATTTTCATGTGGATATATTTAGTATTTTCAGAGTTATTGCCCTTGACTTAATAAAAATTTGCAATTTTCAACTTGTGTCGCATGTAATAATAAAAAAATATTAGACCTAGAGTCATGAAACCTTACAGGAATGTTGCTCAGCGTGTGTAGTTGTGCACCTGGGTATTTTTGTGTGGATACATTTAGCATTTTTAGAGTTATTGCCCTTGAATTAGTGAAAATTTCCAATTTTCAACTTGTGTCGCACGTAAGTAAAAAGTATTTGACCTAGAGTCATGAAACCTAACAGGAATGTTGATCAGCATGTGTAGTTGTGCACCTGGGTATTTTTGTGTGGATATATTTATTATGCCCCCACTTCAAAGATATTGCTTTGCATTTGTCGGTCCGTAGACCAAATGGTTTCCGAGTGATAACTTAAGAACCCTTAGGCCTAGGAACTTCAAACTTGGTATGGTGATTGGTCATGACCAGTAGATGACCCCTATTGATTTTGGGGTTAAGGGGTCAAAGATCAAGGTCACATTGACCTTGTAGGTAAAAAAGGTTTCAAATCAAGAACTAAAGAACGCTTAGGCCTAGGAACTTCAAACATGGTATGGTGATTGGTCATGACCCCTATTGATTTTTGGGTAAATGGGTCAAAGGTCAAGGTCACATTGACCTTGTAGGTAAAAACGGTTTCCGATCAAGAGCTGAAGAAAACGCTTAGGCTTAGGAACTTCAAACTTGGTATGGTGATTGGTCATGACCAGTAGATGACCCCTATTGATATTGAGGTCAAGGGTCAAAGGTCAAGGTCACATTGACCTTTTAGGTAAAAACGGTTTCCGATCAATAACTAAAGAACCCTTAGGCCTAGGAACCTCAAACTTGGTATGGTGATTGGTCATGACCAGTAGATGACCCCTATTGATTTTGGGGTCAAGGGGTCAAAGGTAAAGGTCACATTGACCTTGTAAGTAAAAACGGTTTCCGATCAAGAACTAAACAACGCTTAGGCCTAGGAACTTCAAACTTGGTATGGTGATTGGTCATGACCAGTAGATGACCCCTATTGATTTTGGGGTCAAGGGGTCAAAGGTCAAGGTCACATTGACCTTGTAGGTAAAAACGGTTTCCAATCAAGAATTAGAGAGCGCTTAGGCCTAGGAACCTCAAACTTGGTATGGTGATTGGTCATGACCAGTAGATGACCCCTATTGATTTTGGGGTCAAGGTCACATTGACCTTGTAGGTAAAAACTGTTTCCGATCAAGAACTAAAGAACGCTTAGGCCTAGGAACTTCAAACTTGGTATGGTGATTGGTCATGACCAGTAGATGACCCCTATTGATTTTGGGGTCAAGGGGTCAAAGGTCAAGGTCACATTGACCTTGTAGGTAAAAACGGTTTCCGATCAAGAATTAGAGAACGCTTAGGCCTAGGAACCTCAAACTTGGTATGGTGATTGGTCATGACCAGTAGATGACCCCTATTGATTTTGGGGTCAAAGGTCAAGGTCTGATCTTGTAGGTAAAAACGGTTTCCCATCAATGACTAAAGAGCGCTTAGGCCTTAGGAACCTCAAACTTTATTGAGACTTGATGGTAAAAGGTAATTTTTTTAAGATATGTAAAAATTGATTGAAAACCAGTTCTGTCGTTGTAGCAGATGTCCCATTCGTGTTTAAATATTAAAATAGTTTTGACAGAGTGTTTACAGGGGCGTATCACGTTGGGGGCAGGATCTGACCCCCAAGCGTCTATGGCAGAGTCCAGAAATAATCTGTGTATTTTTTATGTTTTCTTTTCTTAATAAAAAGCAATTACAGAATTTTTGTAAATTTCTGCGTATAATTGACGTTTTAATTTTGCAATACGTAGGATTTTTTTCAACGTTCATATCGTCTTTTTTTTAATTACTTTTTTATGTGCAGTACGAATTAGTACGAACCATTACGAGGACGAAATTAAAACACAACCAAGGTGAAGGTCGAGAAGTGATCATAGTCCGATCACCTTTATTAAAATGATAATATCGTGATTTTTGGGAACTTGGCAACCGTGAAGTGAACTGGTAATGGTTTCTAGTAGAATTTATAAGTTGCTACAGCTTATTATATTGAAGTAATAAAAAGCTTATCACTAAATGTAAACTTAAGAAAAGTGTAATGGTTTTCGGATTTAGATCTACAGCGCCCAAATATTTAAATGTATTTCGTATTTTAGAGTTGCAAGCAATTTATCGTTCTTGTTGATGCAAACAGAAATAAAGAATGCAATCAATTTCATATGAAAGTTAACTTTTTTTACGATTGTAAGATATCTTTGGCAGGTTTTAGACTCTTGATTATTGCAGTATTGAGATAGATCACAGGAACTTGAAATTCTATCAAATAACCAATATTAATGATAATATCCAAATATACCCCCTATACTATAAATATATAGGGGGTATATTTGGATATTATCATTAATATTGGTTATTTAATAGAATTTCAAGTTCCTGTGGATAGATCTACTATAGGACTAGATCTACTACATCAGTACATGGCTAAGAATTTTAGCAGGTGTAACAGCTGGATAGCTCATTTGGTAGTCAAAATATATTGACGTGCCAAAGCTTGATTCTGAGATATTTCCGTTCTGGGGCAGTATCGAGATATTGCCCAGACACGAAAATAGCACAATATCTCGTCGCGCTGTACAATTAGTTGGACTAGCTCATTTGGTAGAGGCATGAAATGGTATAACAAGTGTCCAAGGCCTGTAGAATAGTGGCTCTACAGGCTGAGCTGTCTGTCAGCTTGTAAACACGTTCTCCCTAAATAGGGAAAAGTTCTTAAACCAGTGATTTTTCTAACTTAATTGGGAAGAGGCCTTAGCCACTTGATTTTGGGAAAAATTATCGCTAAATTTGCTGATTTGGGAAGTAAAAAAGGTGGTTTAAGTTCAGATTTTTGGGAAAACTGCATGATTTTAAAGAAATTTTCAATTGGGAAGATGCCTTTTTTCGGAGTCTGTTATATAAGTAGGAAAATCACTGTAAACATGACATAATCCCACTGCAATACTGAAATTTTTTAATGAAATTCGTCCCCATATTTCTCAGGGTTACAGAGCAATCAAATTAAACCCCGAGCTATATGAAGTCCCGGTCCCACATCGGGTGACAAATGTCTCAGGGTGAGAAAAATGTGCAGCCTGACTAAGACTCAAACCAGGGACCTGCTTTCTGCAGCATATCCCAAGCATGCTCAGTTGGAATCTGGGGACCTTGCTGCCCAATCCATGTGGACTATAGTTGCCTCCTCAAGATATCTGTTTGTGATGTGGGCTCTGTATGCACGGGCCTTGTCACCCATAAGAATGAAATCAGGGCCGACTTTGCCAGCGTACGTTTTGTACATGGACGTCTAAGATTTCATTGATGTACCTTACTGCCGCCAGTGTACCGTTTCAATGATGTGTAGGTCCGTTTTCCCCTGAACACTTATTTTGGCCCACACCATAACTGAAACCCCGCCAAAACCGGCCTGTTCTGCAACGCATGCTGGAGCTAAGTCTCCAAACCCTAGCCCCTCTGTCTGTGAAGTCCACACAAAACCTTGACTCCTCAGTGAAGAGGACCGGGGTCTAATCATTAACTGTCCATTTGACATGAGTCTGCGCCCATTGCAAACGCTCTTGAATATGGCGTTGTGTCAAAGGAATGCTAATTGCTGGCCTCCTTGACCTCAACCCAGCATCATGAAACCTGTTTCTAATAGTTTGTGTGCTTACATGCACACCAGTTGCATTCTTGAAGTTGTTACATAAGGTCGTAGCATTCCAGAACCGTTGACGCCTGGCCTGAAGGACAATAATTCGGTCCTGGGCTTGAGTCGTTGAACGCTCCCGACCTCCGGCATGGCCCTGTAAGACATTTCCAGTCATTTGAAATCTGTTCCACATCCTGGAGACAACTCTCTAGGATACCTGAAGAACATGGGCAACATGTCTTTGTGAACGGCCAGCCTCCAACATTCCAATAGCCCTGTTCATCTCATCTTCACTCACTCAACGTCTAACCTGATGATTTGCATAGTTTGTTAATTTCGAACACAGTTTTACAATAAAACGAGAGAAGTCTTGCTGCTTGTTCACGTTTAAGTCAGATAGCACACGGCCATAAAACACCAGATTTCCATGGGTATGCTTTTCCACATGCTTATTGTGCAAGATGTACATGACAAATCGATAACTTAAGTACACGATTATGAGGTCCCTATACAGGTGTATCATTAGCGGAAATATGATTTTAATATGATGATAATAGGGACTGAAATATGCAATGTCAAAAAGGTGATCCTTAGCAAATTTTGAGTTGTCATATAAATGTGTTATTATCAAGTATTCAGTGTACAATTCTGTATTGAACCAATTAGTAAATTTAGTTGATAATGTAAAAAAAAATTAATCCTTTGCCATAGAATCAGATAAATTTTATATAAATGAACAACAATGCTGCCATTTTAGTGTCGCCTCTACGGAGTAGTGGCGACATATAGGGATCACTTCTCCGTCGTCTGTCTGTCCGTCTGTCCGTCCGTCACAAAACTTGTCCAGACTACTCCTCATAAACTACTGGTGCAATTTCATCCAAACTTTACAGAAATGATCAGTACCAAGACTAGTTGTGCATATTGTCACCATTTTCAAGTTCAATGATTTTTGTCAGAGTTATGGCCCTTTAATAATTTTTAATTTTAAAGTTTGTCCGGACTACTTCTCTTATACCACTAATGCAATTTCAATGAAACTTTACAGGATTGATCTGTAGCTCAAGTCCTTGCGCATATTGCACGGGTTTTCCGGTTGAATGATTTTTGGCCGAGTTATGGCCCTTTGATAAAAAGGTGTTTTTTTCTGTTTGTTGCCAGATACACAAAAGCTTGTCCGGACTACTCCTCATAAACTGCTGGTGCAATTTTATCCAAACTTTACACGAATGAGCAGTACCAAGTCTAGTTGTGCATATTGTCAGCATTTGCCGGTTCAATGATTTTTGTCAGAGTTATGGCCCTTTAATAATTTTTATTTTTAAAGTTTGTCCGGACTACTTTTCTTATACCACTAATGCAATTTCAATGAAACTTTACAGGATTGATCTGTAGCTCAAGTCCTTGCGCATATTGCACGGGTTTTCCGGTTGAATGATTTTTGGTTGAGTTATGGCCCTTTGATAAAAAGGTGTTTTTTTCTGTGTGTTGCCAGATACCCAAAAGCTTGTCCGGACTACTCCTCATAAACTACTGATGCAATTTTATCCAAACTTTACAGGAATGATAAGCACCAAGTCTAGTTGTGCACTGTCAGTCTGTCCGCCTGTCACAAAATTTGTCTCAACATGAAATTTGTCATCATGAGGAGACACATGTGATCACTGATTGCTCTTGTTAAGTTAGTGGTAACATCAAAATGACACACAATTGGTGAACATCATAAATACAGAATGATAATTTGACTTTTAGCATTGTCACATTGTAGTGATTGAAATAGACTTAAACAATTTAATGTAAATGAAATAGATATACATAGAGGATATTGAATGAGTGTAGTTTAATAATAAATTTATTGAACGAGTTGAGTAAAGTCATATTATGCAAGCCTCTGGCAAGCATAATATTGTTTTATTCAACGAGTTCAATAAAATTAAGTATTGAATCTACATGAATATAATATTCTATTTATCACATATATAAAATAAGAACTGTAAACTGTTAAAATAAGTAATTTTTTCAATGCCGCGCCCATAGTGTTATGCTAACATTAGCGCGTTTTAACGCTATGTTTCTATAGAGCGCAAATGATGTCACGTGAAAGTGTTATTAAACTAGTGTAATATTGTTTTTATTAAATGGCTTTATTAAACTCCTGTGCCACGGTTTATGTGATAATAACTAACATGCCATTGAAGATAAAACAACATACTAGTAGCAAAACGGTCCAATGTCTATCCAAGTATTAAGCTTTGAGTAAAATGTATAGATCTATTAAAATTACAACAAACATGATGCAGTATTTACAAAAACGTATTCAAGTTTTAGAACTAGGAACTTAGTATAATGATCTTTGACAGGACTGATTTAATTTACCTAGTTATATTAAATAGACTAAAAATATAATGAAAAAAATTGAGCCGCATCACGACAAAACCAACATAGTGTGTTTGTGACCAGCATGGATCCAGACCAGCCTGCGCATCCACGCATGGATCCTGATTAGACTGTGTGGATGCGCAGGCTGGTCTGGATCCATGCTGGTCGGAAACACTCTATGTTGGTTTTGTACGTGGCTCAATTATGATTTTTTTTTTCAGATTGAAATTCATCACAAGACTGGCCAACAAAAGTTGATCACAATGACAAAGTTTCTAGGCATTGACTTTGCTCCTCTCAACATCCCATTTGTTAGACGTGTTCAGACTCTGTGTACATTACAGTGGGTACTAACTTTCTTATTTGGAGGGTTTGGTTCCCTGTTTTTCACCATTTATCTGCTTTTCACCAGATATTTCTGGGTACCAGTCATATACATTTTATGGTACTTTTACGACAGAAATTCAGCTGAAACAGGTGGCCATTACATTCGATGGATAAGGGAATGTTCTGTATGGAAGAAAATGGGAGAATATTTTCCTGCAAAGCTTCATAAAACTGCCGAGTTAGACCCAACGAAGAGTTATATATTTGGGCTTCATCCACATGGTATCATGCAGATTAACGGGTTTCTGTCATTTGCTACCGAAGCGACAGGATTCAGTAAATTATTTCCCGGTCTTATACCACATCTGGTGATTCTTGCTGGGCAGTTTCAGTTTCCCTTTTATAGGGACTACCTTCTCACAAGTGGTAAATATTTTTGGAATTTAATGTTACTTAAATTGACAGTTCTAAGCAAATTCAGTATTAAAAAGGTTAATAAAAAAGCATCGTTGAATGCAAAAATGGGTTATTGATATGAAATTAAATTGGACTTATAGTTAAATGTAGAGCTTAGCCTTTATAAAATTCAAACTAAACATTATTTGACTTGAGAATATTTTTTAGGTTCTGTGTACTTGAACTGTTTTATCATTTATTCACATAATCTTCATTCACATTACGTTTAAGAACACTTTCATTGCCGTTTTTTAAATACTAGGCTGTTAGTGTCCATAAATTTTATATGATAGAATTTATTATAATTACCATTATTTATTTAACAGGCATGGCTTCCGTGAGCAAGGAGAGTTTTCACTGGATTTGTAATCGGGCTGGACACTGTGCTTGTGTGGTTGTGGGCGGGGCTGAGGAAGCTTTGGAGTCAAAGCCAGGCACCTTTAACTTGGTTCTCAATAAGCGTAAAGGCTTTATTAAACAGGCAATTAGACATGGGTATGAATCTTGAAACTTATTTTATGTTCTGAGAATGGGCATCTGTGGCTGAGGGGTTAAGGTCATTGACTTCAAACCACTTGGCACTCACCGCCGTAGGTTCAAATCCAGCCAAGGACTCATGATTCTCTCATATGAGGAACCTATTCAGCTAGCTAATGGAATGCCAGTGCATGGTTCTACTCATGTGCCAGTTGTCATAATGCACTGAAGGGGCACTTGAGTCTTCCTACACAGTAAACCTTGAAAGTTGCCATGGAACCATTACTGTGCCAGAGTTTCCATTAAGTTTCAAAATTTGGAAAGCAGAGACTGCAAAAACTCTGATATTGGAAGTAACATTATATAGGTAAAGAAGGGAAAGTAGTAGATTTTGGAAGCACAAGCCAAAATCATGGAGTAAATGACTCCCATACTTCCATTAACAGAGGCCCTGCATGCGCTGGTGTGACGTAAAACCTATAAAAAATGTTCTCAGGGAAAAAAAATGTTCATTTACTCATAGCAACAAGTTTTGGTCTGGAAGTTAAGTAATAAGAATGTAAATTATGTTATATATTGGAAACTTTGTCAGGTAGAAAATTATTGATTTGAATAACTGAATAATTTAGAATATGAAAGTATTAGTAGTATAATATAAAACCATGTTCTTTAACTGTTACTTCAAGTACCAGTATACCAGTGTTGAATAATGTTAGAGCATTAATAGGTTACTTCCCTTGAATTTAAGGAATTTTTCATTTCAGCGGTACTTTGCCTCTAATAAAGTTAAAAAAAATTGTAAAAATTTTATGTTTCCCTAGCTATGTAAGACTGAATTTGTACTGTTTGATTTGTAAGAATGCTTGATTAATAATTTCAAGCAATTCGCAGAAAATGTATTCTCAAAGGGCATGCTTAATTAAGTGACATGAAATATGAAAATTACCTCAGGAAATGTGAATATTTATGCATTTCCTAAGTCTTTAATTAAATATGATTAAGTTTTCTTTTCAAAATTTGTATATTTATGTGCCTTATATAATTTTTACATTTAAAATATGTAAAGAAAGAAATTGCATCAAAATGAAATATAGTTGAATTTCTCCTTCCCTAGTTGAAACTAGTCATAAACATTTAGATGCTAAATAAAACTGTAACAAAATAATGGAAGTTAATTATTTGTAACAGGGCTTCACTAGTACCAGTGTTTGGTTTTGGTGAGAATGAACTCTACGAGCAGATTCATAACCCAGAAGGTTCCATCCTACGTAAATTACAACTGTTTCTCATGCACAAGGTGTTTGGATTCTCATTGCCTATCATAAAAGGAAGAGGAGTCTTTAATTATACATTTGGTATCATGCCCTACAGACGTCCATTAAATACTGTTGGTAGGTAATCACGAAATAGAAAAAATCGTCTTAAATATTTCTTCATTAACAAATATTATAATTTATGAATAATTTTATTGCAGTAGAATTGTGTGGTTTTTTTTTCAAAATCAAGTGGGCATTTGCCCTTTTGCTCAACACGAGGTCTCCGTCCTCGCTAAACCCACCCTAGGTGTCTGCAATAATATGTGGAGGGGTACATGAAGTTTTCCTCCTCAAGCAATGCTGGCAAATCACATGTTAACCTTTTCAGTGTTGGTTTGCTTTATAGGGCATAAAGCTGTACCTAGTGAAATGTTTTTGCTTGAGTTGATTATTAAACTAAAGGTTGTTGTTTGTTTTAGTTGTTTGATAACATGTAGGTTGTTCTTTGTTTTATTTTGTTACTAACCTATAGATTGTTCTTTGCTTTAATTTTTTGATAACTTACAGGTTGTTCTTTGTTTTAGTTGGTAATTGTAAAAACCGTACTCTGTTTAAGGATTTTAGCCTAAAGAATGTACTTTGTTCCAGTTGGTAAAGATATAGATTGTTTTTATTTTAGTTGGTAAACCTATAGAAGTGGAGAAGAATGAGGAACCATCTCAGGAAGAGATTGACAACTTGCACACAAGATATGTGGAGGAGCTGACAGATTTGTTTGAGAGTAACAAGACAAAGTATGGGATAGATGAGTCTGTACATCTTAATTTTATTGCATAGCTTGCGTTTCCTACAAACAAGTTAATCTTTGAATGTGGGAACTTTTTTATTTGCATTTTGTTTTTATATTTTTGACTATGTCTATTTTTTCTTTGAAGTTATAAAATATAGAATGATATGATGATCATATTTCAAATTGGCATTGTTGAAATGACAGGTTGTGTAATTGTGCAAGGGGTGTCCCTGGCCGAGTAATTGTGCAAGGATTTATAAAGGCTGTTGACTTCAAACCTCTTGCCTCTAACAGCTGTAGCCTCAAATCCCACCAGGGACTTGGGATTCTTTCATATGAAGATGCTATCCGGCTAGCTTACAGAATATTGGTGGTTCTACACAGGGGTCTGTTTGTGTCTTATATAATGTATGGAGGGGCACCACATATCTTCCCTCACCAGTAAAGCTGGAAACTCGCCATATAAGAATAAAATTGCATATTGAATCATGTTGCCATTTAGAGTATGTACAGAGTATGTTTTTTTCATATCATCAGTGATCAGTGCATCAAAAATAATTACACCAGTTTTTTTTTCACAATTACCCATATCTTTGTTTTGATAACTGCAAAAGATAAGGAATTGTCTTGATTATAAGTTCAAAAGGTAATAACTGCCAGATTTATTCACTCATTTTACCACATTTTGTGTTAGAATGGAACTAAATTATATCAAGAATGAAAAATAATGTTAAGGAAATAAATAAAAAAAACTTAATTTTTAAATTTAACATTTCTTATGTAATACAAAACTTGATATGGACAAAAATTGCTTTCAAATTTTTGAAAATTATTATTTGTTCTAGTATATAATTATATTTATATCAACAAAGTGAGTGTCTATTCTAGGAGGGGGGATGGGGGGATTCACTCCTATTTTTGAGAATTCCCCCCTATTTTTTCAGAGGCAGGGGGGAAATTTTACATAGAGAAAGAAGGGAAAAAATCAACAAATGTAATAAATTCTCACTTTTCGATAAAAATCCCCCCTGTTTTTCAAATCCTAGAGTAGACATTGCAAAGTGTCATTAACATTTTATATGCTGGTATAGAAAATGATCAGCCTTTGTCACCAGTATTGAGCTAGGTTAGCCAGTGTATCAATGCAGTAACATGAGACTATTCTGTTGGAAACTATATTTTTGTATTTGTCCTTAAAATATGACTGGAATGTTCCAAAGATCAAATGGATACATATTAAAGGAACTCCACTGAGGTTTTTTTTTGACATGAAGGGACTTACTTTTTATTTTTGAAAATTGTGTACCATTTGATGTAGGTCTGGACCAATAACTTGTGTGCAAAATTGCAGATCATTCTCTCACTCATTTTTTCTAGATGAATTATTTTTATAATATAAAATGACCAAAAAAAATGAAAAGGGTCACAATGCTTTTCACTAAAGACAGGCTAAAAATCATACAAAAACCAATTTTCTTTCAATTTAACTCTGAGTATATTTATTTTCTTTTATTTGCAGATTTTTTACATTTGAGTGCATCATTTGATCTATGCAAGGATATTTACATTTTATATTTCTAAGCTTTTTTGCCCCAGTGGAGTTCCTTTAAGGGAAATAAAACATCATCATTGCATCATAACTATTTATAGGTACTCGCTTTAACATATGACTTTAGAAAGAAGCTCAATCTGTGATATATTTGGATTCTAGGGTAAAACTGCTGTACTGTTAATTTTATTTAACTGAGAGACTTTTCTTTTCCATCATATGTGCTATTTTACTATAAACTAGACTCTTTGTTATGCAAAGAATGAGTATGGAATAAAGTTTCAGCCAATTTCTTTTTTTTAAAGACTATTACACCAAATCATATTACAAGAATTGCTATGTTAGGCCTAAGCTAGATTTTTTTTTCAGATATTTTTTTAATATTAATAATTATGATGGAGTGTGTATAAATCATACTCAGAGGAAAATCAAAGAAAAAGATATCATTGTTATTTATTATTGTCATTTAAAATATTGTTTTGTCAACGATGATTAAGTATTTTGAACTGTTAATTTCTGGTTTGATTTAACTCGGCAATAACAACCAGCTTGTATTATTATCAACCTTGTATTATCTCTGTATCATCAACATTATATTCATTACAACTTTTGATTCAGTTACATGACAGTGTAAATTAATTTACTCTTGCATTCCATACACAAGTTTTATACATACATGCATACTGTTCAGATATTTATATGTCATTTGTTTATTTGTGTTTTTTCCTTCAATGAGGACAGAATTTAGCGCAATGTTAACAAAATTGTGTGACAAATTAAAAGTAGATATAAGCCTCTACATCTATGTACATTTAGTCTGACCATAATTTTTTTTAGATTTTTAGATTCCTAGTTAATGTTTATATATAGATCTTATGAAATCCTAAAATTTCTTGGCAGGTTAGTAGGTTAAACACATTCTATGGAATAAACTTATCAAAAATGATAAATTATAACAAGATGGTACATTTTCAACTCCACAGGCTGCTTTTTCAACTGCTTTAATTACACCTTGCAGAAGTGGGGACAGTTTAGCAAAATGTGTTGCCATTTCAAAAAGGGCTCTTAAACTTATGACTAACTTCTGCAATGTAAAGCTGCGTTTTGGACTGCTTTAATTATACATGTACTTTCGAGCACTAAGAATTGCTCAGCAAACTGTCTGCAGACAAATCTTATTTATATAAATATTAATTTTAGTTAATTGATAAAAATCCATTACATAGTATAAATATTAAAATTTGAATTTGTTGATAAAAATCCCATTTCATAATTCATGAATTTTAAATATGAATTTTAGTCTTATTGATAACAATCTATTACATAAAAACCTTGCAATGCATTATAGTTATATGATATAGTAATATATTTGGAAAAAATTGTTATAATTCTACTTTTATAATATTTGTATAATAAACTTCTTGCCAGTCAGATATATTTACCATATATTTCTATTAGTGTTCTTATATTCTTGCCAGTTAGCAGTTAGTCAAACACTTCTATTTGTATATCAGCTTTTTTGCAATATCTAATAGGTGCTTATTTTTATATCTTTGCATGTACATGTACTTTATTCAAGATTTAAGCACTTATTGAAGTGCTTATTGTTACTGTTTATTAGTCCCCTACCGGTTTACCGGAGGGGACTTTAGGTTTACCCTCCGTCCGTCTGTCTGTCTGTCCGTCTGTCTGTCCGTCTGTCTGTCAGTCCGTCCGTCCACAAAACTGGATCCCGCGATAACTTGAAAAGTACTGAAAATATTTTTATGAAACTTGATATATGGATAGATGGCAGTATGGAGATTATGCACGTTTTTTTTTTTTCTTCCTATGTTGAAAATTCTGGTTGCTATGGCAACAAATAGGCTTAAAATATGGCAAATTTTACACATAAACTGGATCCAGTGATAACGTAAAAAGTACTGAAAATATTTTTATGAAACTTGAAATATGGGTAGATGGCAGTCTGGAGATTATGCACGTCCTTTTCTTTTCTTCCCATGTTGAAAATTCTGGTTGCTATGGCAACAATTAGACTGAAAATATGGCAAATTTTACACATAAACTGGATCCTGTGTTAACGCAAAAAGTAATAGAATATTTTTATGAAACTTGTAATATGGGTAGATGGCAGTCTGGAGATTATGCACGTCTTTTTCTTTTCTTCCTATGTTGAAAATTCTGGTTGCTATGGCAACAAATAGACTGAAAATATGACAAATTTTACACATAAACTGGATCCTGTGTTAACGCAAAAAGTAATAGAAATATTTTTATGAAACTTGTAATATGGGTAGATGGCAGTCTGGAGATTATGCACGTCTTTTTCTTTTCTTCCTATGTTGAAAATTCTGGTTGCTATGGCAACAAATAGACTGAAAATATGACAAATTTTACACATAAATTGAATCCAGTGATAACTCAAAAAGTACTGGAAATATTTTTATGAAACTTGACATATGGGTAGATGGCAGTCTTGAGATTATGCATGTCTTATCTGTTCTCCCTATTTTGAAAAAATATTGGTTGCCTTGGCAACAAATAGGCTTAAAACATGGCAAATATAACATTATTTGTGATTAGTCAAAAAGAGCTGAACTTTTTTTATGAAATTGCATCTTTAATTCAAGAGTTATCTCCTCTTTAAGGATTTTGCTTTTAAAAATGTTATATTTTGGTAACAGGGATGTTTCAAATATTAACTTTAGAGTGTCCTTCAGTCTGTCTGTCTGTCTGTTCATAAAAACTGTTTCCTGTGATCACTTTTAAAGAACTTTTCCAACAAATTTACTTAAAATATAGAAAAATTGAAATGTTAGTGAATGGCCAATGGCCCTTCAGAAAGTTGATGGGGTTGTAACCGGTAGGGGACTTATGGATTGCTTGCAATACTATGATAATTGCTTGTTTCACATAATGCTTATTTTGTTAAAAAATATAACCTTGAAAAAAAAGTTATGTATCTTTATATTACACTTAATGGTTTTTTTAGCTCGACTATTCGAAGAATATGAGAGCTATTGTAGTCGCCCCGGCGTCGGCGTCGGCGTCAGCGTCCGCGTCGGCGTCTGCGTTGGTTAAAGTTTTTTGTAAATTCAAATATCTCAATTATTGCTTGAGATATTCAATTGAAACTTACAATACTTATTTATAGTAACAATATACATCAGATTGACAAGTTGGATAACTCTGCCTACAATATTGACAGAATTATGCCCCTTTTTAACTTAGAAATTTTGGTTAAAGTTTTTTGTAAATTCAAATATCTCAATTATTGCTTGAGATATTCAATTGAAACTTACAATACTTATTTATAGTAACAATGTACATCAGATTGACAAGTTTGATAACTCTGCCTACAATATTTACAGAATTATGCCCCTTTTTAACTTAGAAATTTTGGTTAAAGTTTTTGTAAATTCAAATATCTCAATTATTGCTTGAGATATTCAATTGAAACTTACAATACTTATTTATAGTAACAATGTACATCATATTGACAAGTTGAATAACTCTGCCTATAATATTTACAGAATTATGCCCCTTTATAACTTAGAAATTTTGGTTTAAGTTTTTTTTGTAAAGTTAAATATCTTAATTATTGCTTGAGATATTCAATTGAAATTTACAATTCTTTTTTATAGTAACAATGTACATCAGTTTGCAAAATTGCATAACTCTTGACTGCAATATTTGCA